GTTTTAATGATGAAATATAAATGGCCTGTACGTATATAGCGCTTTTTCAAGTCTGAGGACTTGACCAAAGCACTTTGCACTCCGTTCAGTAGTTTATTTATTATATATTATCTGCTAAATAAAACCCAGTGTTCATTGTAGTTTGAACTTATCTGATTAGTAAATAAAATCCAACTGAGTTTATTTTGATGTAAAAAAAAAAAACAAAACAGCCACTCTGTGAAGGCCTCAGGGGTTTGTTAGGGAACATTACAGAACAAACTGCATCATGGGATCCAAGGAACACAACAGGTCAGGGAGGAGGATGTGGACAGGTTTATCCAGGGTCTGGATATTATAGAATATCCCAACGTTTTCGCTTTTTAACCCATCATCTGAACAAGGTAACAGTACATTAGGATTGCTGACCTACTAAGACTTGGCTGTCTGTCTAAACAGAAAGGATGTGTGAGAAGATGACTCTAGGGGAGCCTCAGAAATCCAAAACTCAGGTGGGAAAATCTATTGACAGGACAGCTGTCAGCTTCGCAACACAGATATGGGTGGGTGGCAATAATAAAAAAAACCAAAACACAAAAATAATGTCAGAAGCTCAGAATGTAGGACCCAGAATTAAAGTGGACAGATCAGTGTAATTTCAAAACAAGCATTTATTAAAGACACTCGCGTGTGGCTTTTCGTCAGCAGGGACAGGTTCTCTGGATACTAGAGACGGGAGTTCAGGTTAGTGACTTCAGAACTCAGACGGGAAACGATAAGGAGCGTGTGAGTCTCTAACCTGGTATAGATCAGTCTGAGCCCAGAAGAACGGGTGAAGTCGTGAGGGATTGTTTCTCCGTAGCTTCCAGAGTTCTTGGAGAGAAGCAAAGCAGGCAGATGCGCAAAAGCCAGCAAACACGGAAGAGCAGAATCCAGAACCAGAGTAGAAGCAGGAGCAGGTTTTCAGGCCAGAAGAGAGATCAGAAGTCTGAAGAGGCGCAAAAGGAATATCCAAGCTGGGGTAAGAAGACAGGTCCAAGGTCGTTAGCAGGCAGAATCCAGGTAATAGGCCGAAAACAAATCAGGTAACAGAGCAGTACAGGGGCAACCAAAACTCAGAAGTCCAGGGACAGAAACTAGTCAGGATCAGGGTTTTAGAAACTCACAGATAGCTAGAAAATTCTCACACTCGGCTCAAATAATCTGGCACCAATGGCTGGGAACAGGTAGCTTAAATAGAAGCAGTAACAGGTGGATCTGATAAGAGACGATGAGCGCTAGGCAGAGCTACTGTAAGCAGATGTGAGAGAGGAGGCAAATCCAGCCATACGTGCCAAGATCATGACAAATAAATAAATAAAACAGGGATTTCTGTAAACAGGATATGGGGTAGCAAACAAATGCTGTGGTTTGATATAACCAAAAATTTGACTCTTTTTATTCAGAGTGTATGTAAAGTATGACATGTGGAGGTAAAACTAATATTGTCTGTGACCCTGAACGCACCATCCTGCAGCAAAACGATTCTGCCTGCAGCATCAGGCTGTGGGGTTGCTTTACCTCAGCATGGATAGAGAAGCTGGTCAAAGGTGAAGATGGGCAGAGATAAAAACAGGGAGACCCTGAAGGCTGCAAAGAAATCAGTTGGAAGTTTCATTCAGTAATTCAATTAATTTATACAGCGCCAATTCACAACACATGTCATCTCAAGGCACTTTACAGAGACAAATCAACCAAATCATACAGTCCTACTGATTTAAAGTGGTCTATTTAAGGAAAACAACAGCAGCCCGACAACCAAAAATATACAGCCATGCTACTGGTTTAGATCAAGGGAAATCAATGTACTAGAATGGTCCATTCAGAGTCCAGGCCTATGTTAAACGACCTTTAGCTGCAGCAAAAAGCCTCAACATAGTACTGATGTAAGGAGGTCTAAATACAAAGGACACACTTTTCTTTACTTAGGTAAATCAGTGATGTTTTTCTTTCACTTTACAGTTACAGCTACTTTATGTTGATGTATAGAATAAAATCTCAATAGAAAAAATTCAGGTTTGCGGTTCTAACTTGACGAAATGTTGAAAATGTCAAGGGGTTGGGTTACTTTTGCAAGGCACCTCAAACCATCATATATTTTTATATTCAGGCTTTCAAAAACAGATTCTCCATGCTGTTGCTCATCTAGATCCTTTTAAACAATTTGTTTTCATCCAGACAAACATTCCATGCATGGCATGATCTGACCATGACAATGACTGAAGAGAGCAGCATGTGAGATGTCATGTTTTCACTGACGTCTGACGTTTGTCCTGTTTTCCTTGTCCTATTCCAGTGTGTCTGCGTTTGTTTGCCAATGGTGTGGATGGCAGAAGTAAGTCACAGCTGGTTAAGAACATCCATCTGTTCATTTCACATCAGCATGTTTAAACGTCCGCCCGCCTTTTGTTATGAAATGAACAGGAGAGCTGCTGTTTGTGTGCTGCAGCGGCGGGCCTCCCATGGATTGTTCTGGAAACGTGGTACTGGAGCGTGCAGCTGGGCTGTTTGGGTCAGGTGAGGGTAGTAGAAACAGGGAGGCACTCAGGTCAGAGCTGTTATGCCCTGAGAGCCGAACTCATTAAAATTCCTCAGCTTCAGAGAGCTAGGATAGTCGGAGCAAGTAAAGGCTCAGGTGGATCAACACATTATTATACCATTCTACTTCTGTTGACACAGCTCATGATTGATAACAGGATCTCATTCTGTCTTACCCTGCTGCAGGCTAATGTTGTGCAAACGTGTTGCCTTATAATTGATGGGATGTTGCCTTTTTTGAGGGAGAAAGAAAGAATATAAAGGATTCAAGTTCCCAAACAGATAGATTGCTCTGTGCTTCTGGCTAAAATATGTGTTGTTGTGTTTATAGCAACAGAGGAGCTGGTCTAGATAAGGATTTATCTGGAGATGAGAGCTCATGGTGTCGGCTGCATTCTTTTGGCATCGTCGTCTATTGATGTGAGGTTGCATTAATCTAAAAGCATGTATCAGTTCTATTTTAAAACTCTGGTTTACCTAGAAGAAAATATACTTAATATTGAGTTAGCCAAGGTTCAATGAGAAGACAGGGGTCAAATGCTCAAAAGGATGATAATGAGTACTGTAATCAGCCTTTCTGTTATCTGCTGGATGTCTTGTTCTCTTGCTCTCTGAGTGAAACCCTAGTTTTCTTTAAAATAGCTTCTTTCACCTTTAGTGGTTCCTTTTTTTGTATTGCAAGTAACTGATTAGTAATATGAAAAGCCAAGTTCTTTCTTCAGTCCAACTTCTACACAGAAGAGTGTAAAAATCTATTTCTGCTGCTGCAAAAGCGTCAAACATGTTAATTATTACATTAATAAAAATCAGAGATCGACCAATACACATTTTTGTTTAGGCTGATGCTGCTACAGATTATTTTGACATTAGCCCTGCTGTGTTGCCTCTCTTGGAGCCAATATTGTTTTCTTTCCTATGTTTACATAATAAAAATGACACTTTAATACCAAATGTTACAGAAGTCTCAATTTAAACTTAAACTTTTTTTAAAAAATCACACACACTTAATGAATAGCAGATGAAGGGAGCAGCAATACATGTGCTCCATTTGATCTCAATGCATTGGTGTTGATTGCACTGACGAATTGACCTAATGCTTGCACATATCGGCCAATACAAGTGAAAAATGTTTACCATCTGCCAAAAATATTGGCCAGCCGTTACATTCACGTCTTTTAGTTAAGATTTGATCAAACTAAACTCTGAAATGAATACCTGCTACATTTAGATATAGTTTTAAATCTTGTTTTAATCTTTTTTTTTTGCTCTTTATTCAGTAAAACATGGTTACCAAACATATATTTGTTAGGTGTTTATTTACATGACCTGCTGCAGTCAGATAACAGCCTTGCGGCTCCTTACCTATCCAATAATAAAATTATTACCTTAATAATTGAATGGGTGGTATTCTTTTTCCGCTATGCTATAACTACTTTTCAAGGCTAATTGCCAAGTTTGTCTTTTCTTTATGCCAGGTGGAAGTTTATTGGCCCCTTTTCAGCCAGCTGACTGGCAATGTGTAGGAATAGATGGAGGGGGAAATGTTCCTACATTATGCTTCCTACAGTTGAATATAATTCAAGGTTCTCTGGCATTTGCTTTAGTATCTAATAAACAGGATTATAATCTGTAGTTGTTGTTGATATTGTGTTTTAAGGTGTAATATAAAAGAATATCTTGGACAGCAGGTTTCTAAATAGACTTTTCATTGAGATGTGCAGAGCATCTGAAGGTGATGCGACCGCTGGTCACAGAGCATTTGGTCTGAGGACATGGCGTCAAGCGCTGATGAAGCAGAAAGTCATTCAAGGTTTTCGGCTCCTGCAGGTGCATTTAAATGCAGGTGGTGTGGTGAGTGCAGATATGACACAGCTTTGTCAGGCAAACTCCAGACTTACGGCGGGTTCCTGTTTTGCTTTACACCTCCCAGTTTGCAGTATGATTTGCCTGTGATGCAGACACAAAGGTGCGGCATTTTTAACCGTCACTCAGACTTTTTCTTTTCCTTGGAAAGCCAAAAGCAGAATGGCTTGAAGGGGGGTGGGGGTGGGGATGAACGGGAGGGTGCTGGGAGTGTTGTGGCTTAGTAAGAAGTTGCTTGTGCTGTCGGAAGAGTTAAAAACTTTTGCCCCAGAGCTCTGACTCATTAACTGCTGCTCTGCTCTACAATCAACTGAACTTGGAGTGTGTTGCTTGATTTGTAAGCTGTAGAGCTGACAGGCTGGATTGTTTTGTTGCTTCAAAGCAAGCCTCTTATAAAGAGTTATTGCAAACAAACTATTCCAAGTTGACCATTTATGCAAAACAATCACCTCACTAGCTTTGGTTTAACTTATTATATCATAACTTTTAACTTTCTTCTCATGTAATGCCTAATCTATGAGGAGTACAGTGCCTTCGGTTTTGTTAAATAATGCTTTCTGTGCTCCTGTTCTCTTATAAAGGCTCTCCTGATGATTGCTCAACCTAATAATAAAGAGGTGTTGCCCTGATTGCTGTTGGCCCAGCACAGCTTATCTCTAAGCAAGGTAAATTTATCTCCTTTTCTTATATAATGCTTTTTTTATTATTGTTATTATTTTTTGGGGTTATGTAATAGACCACAGTCTCTTGTTGGCACTGTCACACTTTTTTTTTTCGGGTCTTGCTTTTTTTTAGATGTCAACCGCATCTGAAAGTAGGACGGAAGGGCCTCGCAGTATGAGCCAAGAGAAAACATACAAAAAGGTAAAGTCATGCTTTGTTTTTAATTTTCTGATCATTTTCTGTTAAATGCCTTGGTTTTAGAGCTGACAAGTCCAAATCAGCTTTACTTCTGAGTAACTTGAGTGGGTTAAAATGTCCTTGTGCTGCAGCACATAATGTCCTGACCCCTGTTAGGGCTGGCTGCCAGAGACCAGTCAAGTGCTGATCCCACTTTGTTTTCTTTACTTTTTTATGTTTAAACTGTAGACGTCATTTTGTGTGGCAGTTTTTATGAAGTTGTAGCCATGAAGTTTTGGTTGCACAGTAGCTACCTTTAATTCAGACTGGATTAAAAAGTATGGACCACTTTATAGGATAAAGGAATATTTGTCTCTCATCTTATCTGAGTTATTTTTAGTGGAAATTGTAGTTATGTAAATGTATTTCCATGTTCTTGTTGTATGGCACTGGTTCACCACAAACCCCTGTCCAAGTATAAAGACAGACACACCGAAGAAATATACTGTTTATGGTTACAGAAGCATACAATAAGGGATTATTTGAATTTGATGCTGTTTTTAATCTGAAAGTCACTGAAACGGTAGAAAATAAGTCCCGCTTATCCAAGACCTGTTGGCGGGCAGAGAATCACAGAAATTCTTCTCTCCAGGGTTAGGGTTAGGACATACCAGCTTCCTCAAGGGAAGCTGGAGGACATACCAGGGCCAGCAGAGAGATACAGTCCCCCTCTGAGCACCCACTCTGTGCTTCCACCAGAGAAGGCATGTCAGCTGCAATAAAGAAATCCTCAGAGTATTCCTCCACCAGTATTCATTTACTGCCCAAGAAGGGCCATGTTTGACCTAATGGTACCTTCTTCTAGTGTCCACCACTGGGTTCAGGGGTTTCCACCACGACAGACATTGCAGATGCAATGAACAGACCTGCATCAACAGCTGCATCAAAAACCCCTTAAAATCTGAAAGAAGTATCGCTGGAGCTGAAGTTAAAAATGTCCCTGACTAAGAGCTTCACCAGATATTCCTAGCACCCTCACCACTCGCTTGGGCCTGATGAGTCTGTATGGCTTCCTCCTCTTCCAGCGTATCGAACACACCAACAAGTAGTGATCCATGACTCACAAAGAAGTCCAATGATGGAACATCACTCAGGTTCAAAAGTTGGAGTTTGTTCCTCCTGATCAGGACTTGTAAGGTGGCAGAGTCCCCCAGCAGAATGATGGTATTTATGATAGGGGTTCCATCTAGCACTGTCGCTAGGGACGATAAGAATCAGTCGCTCAGCCCATAGACCAGGACAGTCAGAGACCTGTCTTCAAAGTGTAGGGATGCGGCCCTCTACTGTACAAGGGTGAATTCCAACACAAAATCTGAGATTACAAAGATGCAAAAAAAAAAAATACTGGCACCACATATAAATGTTTCTGTAGAGATGCCTTATTAAATCTGTCAATAAAGTAACTTGAATTCAGTCTCAAGATTTCAAAAAAGCTGTTACAACTTATAGGTTGACAAATAGGTCAACCTCTCCATCCATGATTTGCTAAGATTCTGTCACACAGAGGGAGTTAAGTTGAACTTTTCCGATTTGGACATTTTCTCTAGACTGTACAGAGTTATGGGTCATTTTTTGGGTAATTTTGCAGGTTTTTACAGGACTTACTGTAGCTCTGGAAACTAAGATGGTGATGAAGAAATGTTGATTTCATGTTTTCCAAGCAGCGGCTGGGTTTATTTGTCTTCTAGGGTTTAGACTATGATTCTGCAGAAATTCATAGTGACTACCCACTTTTTGTATCCTGTTTACCATAAAGCTCACGATTGTAGGAACTCTAAAAGTTCCAAAGGCCTTGGCTGGAGAAATGGACCCTGATAATCACGGATCCTCCACTATACTTAGCAGTCAGCATAATCTGCTTTTCCATAAATGACTATTCAGTTTTTCTCAAACCTACCAGAAGTTTTTGTTGCCCCTATCTGTGAGCTTTGGAGTCTACTGTACATCCCTCACTTTGTCCAGGCTTGTATGTCACAGTCCCAGCAGCTGCTTTCAAAATATTGATTTCTTGCTCTCGATGCTGGTATCAAAAAGCTCAGGTAGTGGCTATTTTCTTGTGACCATTTCCCCACTGACTTAGTTTAAGGGCTTAGACTATTGTTTTTTCCATGAGATTTAAGGCCCACAATCTCAATTTAAAGTACAAACTACATTTGCTCATTAAATGTTTATAGACAGTTTAAAAAGACGAGCATTTACATATCTAAAAGCTTTGAGGTACATTTATTTTAAGAGATATTTGGGGCACCAACAATTGCAGCACCTGTGATCTTTTTGTGATTAGGAAAAACAATAGTTTTCTCTAAAGATGTTTTTATTTACACATCTATATCAAAAGTGTCAGCAAAGTTCGAGGGTGCTGCAAATACCTACGGCAGCAGGGTTGTATTTTCCTGTCTTTCCTAGTTTAGCTGTCTACATCCCAATAAATGTGCTGCTTTTCTTGCTCTATTTTCCCGTAAAGACCACGTCATCGGCCTTGAAAGGAGCCATTCAGCTGGGCATCGGCTACACAGTGGGAAACCTCACCTCAAAGCCGGACAGAGACGTTCTTATGCAGGACTTCTATGTGGTGGAGAGCGTCTTCCTCCCTAGGTTAGTGGTACATGGTGTAACAGAGCGCACATACATGAACATACCACTTAGTTTTTAGGCATGCAATAGAACCATTTCTGTAAAAGTAAAGTATTTAATAGGTCATTGCTGAATTACAGCCTTTATAAAATCTGTCATGTATCATTCATAAGAAAAAAAAAAAACAATTACACTTAGTTTGAATGACACTAACTGTTAACTAATATCTGGGATTATTTCTGTTATTTTGTCCATTAATAATAGTTTTTTTCTGGGTCAGTGCTGCTAACAATATATAACCAATCTTGCCCAAACTGCCACCAGAGCCTCTCAATCATCATTCATCAGCACTCGGTTCTTGTCTGAGTCATGATGCAGGGATGCTACTATTTCTGTGGATTATCCCTCCCAGAGCTGTGAAATCAGCTTACTGCGTACCTCTTGCTGCTGCAGTGCTAAGCAGATGTCAGTGTGTGGCCTTTCAGTCTTCACAATTACATCATCAGCTTAAAGAACCCTTTGAGATGATCTAGAGCTCAACCAAGGGATCTTTAAAAGTGGGATACTTTCATCCATCGTCATACAGCTGGAGGTCCAACACCCTCTGTCTTTGTTTGGATTGAAAGCACTTTTGGAGCAGTGATTTCTATCCATTGTAATCAGATGCTGTTCAGACCAGTCCTGTCAGATGATCTGGAATGACCCATTTAATGTAAGAAGATCATCTAGTGAGAGTTTTGTGATTAACTGTTTTGTGATGTACTGCTGAAAACAATTTTAGCCTATTCAGATTTATCGTATTTAGGTGCGGTATTTAGGTAACAGCTGCAGCTCAAAATATTGTTTTATATCCTACCCACAGTGAGCAGAAGTTATTTCAATGGAATATAAGATTTCACTCCTATAAAAAAAGGCAGCATGCTTGAAGTTGATATTCTAACCTTATATCAGAGATTTTTGATTGCTAGCAAAGTTACCATTAATAAAACATCAGTATCTGTGTTCATTTCAAAGAGAATCTTAGCAGAAAGATTTTCCGAAATGCTGCTAAACAATGTTCAAATCCAAATATTCTAAGTGCTTAAAACTGAGTATATTTGCTGTCCCTCTTTCTGCCTTCCTGTTATCTGCTGAAGTATAGCTCTCTCTGTTTGTAAGCCTAAATAAAGCTCAGTTCAACATGTTATAAGACATACAGATTTCTTTTAAATAGATTCCTGCATCATTTAAGGCTCCGGCGGCAAATACAAATACAGCTTGCAAGCAATTTTATTTAATTAGGGGGATAAAAACATTAAAGCTCAACCTTACCTGATATGAAAAAGGGTCATTACCCCCAAGAACTAAGAACTGTTGTCGGATTTTTAGCCTTCTCCTCTTTACAGAACTTTTTATATTCATCCCCGTTTAAAGGCTACTGAGCATGTTTAAGATCCCACCATAAAATCTAGCTATATACTATGACAGTCTTAAGATTTTTATCTAGTTTTGTGATTTCAGATGTCCTTTGGATGGTTTTTTCTGCTGTAGGGTACATGGAGTAGTCATTTGAAATTGTCATTTTGTTTTCATTGAGACTTTCTCTGTCTGAAGAGAAAAAAAAGAACAAACATAATGAATCTATAAGGTTTAAAAAAAAAAAAAAACTTTTACAACAGAGTGTATTTTTATTCCAAACAGTGTTTTGCTTTATATTTATTGTTTATAGATAATTAATGTTATTATTCTAAGCTATATGTAGGTCTTTGCTTTTGTTTGTTAATGCCCCATTTAGTTTCTTTAAGCTATCTGCTTAGAGCTCTGTTTGCTTTATGTACCTAATTTCCTGTGTCAACAAAGTAATTTTTCTTTTATTAAAACTGGACTTTGTATTTCAAATATTTTAACAGCTAATCTGTGCTTAATGCAACATCAGAGCTACATGAGAAATAAGTAAGAATCATGGTGTTCCATGCACTATTTTTCTCAGTCATGAATGTGAAAGTTAGGAAATTTGCAGATTTATACAAGCCATGATTAAAAATAGCAGTAATAGACATAAAGGGGTCACTCAGTGTTGCATCTGTTGTCAGACACACTCGTCAACAATGGCTGTGATACGACGCTCAGGTTTCAGGAAGAGTCCTGTCAGGAAGTACTTTGGGGTTTTGGCTTTGAGATGCAACACCAGGATATGCAAACTTACTATGGTCTATGCAAACCCGTTCCAGGCACGCAAACGTCTCCTATTACTGAGCAACAGCCAAACATCAATCCTGTTGATGCAGCGGCAACTGGTTGAGTCGCAAGTGTAAAATCATTGATGCCGTCTCAAATCTTTTTTTGTTGGATAAAAGTTGCGGTCGTCTCAGAGGCCAAATTAAAGATTAGGAAGGAAGAAAACGACATAAGACACAACCACCAGAAAGGGAACTTAATTTTTCCATTTTCATCCTTTGCTTTCTCTAAGCAGTTCATCTTAGTGGAAACATCAAAATCTGTTTTTCCTCCTTAAAAGACTTTACTGGGAGTGAGGTTAAGGGATTCTCTCAGAAGCATTTCTATCTCCCTCCCTGTAGGCTTCTCTTCCTCACTTTCCTGTTTTTCTCTGGAGGATTATCTGTGGCTGTTTGTCCTGTCAGTCTAGTTTTTATTATACTAACTGATTCGACTCCCTCTTTTTTTCTTTCACTTTGCCTTTGTGTCAATAAAAGTGCAGGCGTCTGCCTGGCCGATCAGATTGAATCAAACATTTCCATGTTCTGTTTGCTCTGCACCATTTTCCGTGACAGGTGAATGCTGCTGCACTCCTGCATTTAACAAAACATTCAAATGACTTTGTGGACATATTTTACAGGGCACGGCCCGACTGTTGCCCAGGCACACAACAACACAATAGTCTTCCCACATTGTTTAATAACCCAGATTTAGAGCCACTGTAGTAATCTGATCTTTATTAACCTGCTTTCACATTTAGGATCTTTAAAACAAGTTCCTGTTTGTTTACTTTGACTCTCTCTCACCGTATCAACATGCTGGTTCATGTGCTGTGGTTCTCCCCTGAAATGAAAGTTAGCTTGTGAAGCAAACGTGGCCAGCCTTTGTCCAAGCCTGTCTGAGAATGTCCCACAGTCCAGCCAAAGCTGAAAAAATGTAGGTTATGTTGTTGTTTTAGAGCCAATGCAGGTCCGTTTTCTCTCTGAGGAAAGCCCCCTGTGCTGCTGATTATTGTTAGGATCCAGTAATCAGAGCCGTCTTCGGCCTTCAGGCTAACAACTCTACACCGGCCCTTTTTTTCTCAACAGTTCTGATGAATCCCGGTCATTGGAGATGACCAAACTGAGCTCTGTTAATGCAATAACATCTTTAATCAACAATCTAATCATAAATGTGTCTCTGTTCCAGCACACTGAGTTCAAATGACAGTATTATCTCCTACTTCTCAGCACCACTGGCTAAGACAACTTGGGTTGAGAAACAATACATCAGTGGATAAAACGTAGAAACTCAATGTGCCCAAAATTAATGAGGAGAATGTTGTTTATTGTGTTTCTTTAGGAATACTCTCTTATGTACTGTGTTTTAATATATTTCTTCCTTCTGGCCTGGGTTTATCTTCACATTCCAGCGAGGGAAGCAACTTGACTCCTGCTCATCACTATCCAGACTTCCGCTTTAAGACATATGCCCCCCTGGCCTTCCGCTACTTCAGAGATCTGTTTGGCATCAAACCGGATGATTATCTGGTAAGACCTTAAATCTTCCCAATATGTATGCTGGGTATGACTGATCAAACCAAATTAGATGATTATTTTGTCATTTTTCCAAATAGAAATGAAAGAAAGGTGGTCTGGGGTGAAAAAAAAAAAAGTTTATTAAACAATCTTCCCACTAAATTGTAGCTCTTTGGAGGGTATGCCTCCTCCTGCTGTGTACATTTGGAATCTGATTAATTGGCCATTTTGTCTTTGAAAAATAGCCTAAGCTCCTCCCTGTTAGTTAGGGAGCAGATTTTCAGAAATAAATGAGGTCCAGACTTTGACTAGACCATTTGAAAATATAAAAACACATAGAGCTGACCCATTCTTCTGTACTTCAGGCCATTGTCCGACTGGAGAATGAACTTTTGATGCCCCTAACAGGTTTTTTGTTCAGGATTGTATTTAACAATATCAATCTTTCTGAAAGCATGCCCACATCATAGACCTGCCACCTCCATGTTTCCAGTAAATATTTGGTCATTTGCATGCCTTCTGGAAGCAGATGGTTTCATATCATTAGGAAGTATCAGAATAAAACAGGACTAAGCAATAATGTACATCACTTTGTATATTTGCTTATATAATATCCATCCACTGAGCTTTTTCAGACACTTTTTTACATGAAATTGTACTAAAGCACATTAACATTTGAGACTGGAACATGAAAAAATGGGAAGAAGTTCAAGGGTATGAATACTTTTTTAAAGTGCTGTAGAAACATTTTCATACGGAAGAAAAAAGGCTAAAAATCTTAATTGCCAACCCTTATAGATCTGGACTTTACTACTGGGTCAGCTAGGTTATTTGGGCTGATGTGATTTGAATTCTCTGACTAGCCATACTATTATACTCCTGCCATCATTCTGACACTTCAATTACCTCAACTAAGCAGGTTTTACTCTCTGCCTCGTGTTTGATTTATTGTATACACTTGATATTTTAGCCCAGTTGGGTTTTCCTGGTTGTTCATTTTGTGCATGTGTTTCTATCAGTCAAACCGATAGAAAAACTTCAGCTCTTTCAGCTTATTTCCAGCTTTTCTTGATCATGTTTTATTGAGTTGTTTGTGTATCATCCCACACAGATCTGGGGGAAGGAATTAGTTGACCCTACTTCTCTGTGTAATAAGGTCTTATTTCTAGATCTTTCCTAAAATAAATCCTAAGTTTACTACCTTCATGACCATCGTCTTTGGATATTAGTCTCTCACAAGCGCCTAAAAGATGCATATTCTCATACTTCATAGTATTTTAGAAATATTCTAATCAAATGTTTTGTTTTAGTAAATGAAGCTAAGATGCTAAAAGCCGGTTCAAACCATCATCCATTCTATTGACGGGATTAGGAGTGTGTGTTGGCATGTGTGTGTTGCGATACGATACATGTCACAATACTAGTGGCATTATATGATATTGCGATATTCCTTTATATTGCGATATTTTACCCAGCTATCAAAATGAAATGTATAGATAAAAAAGAATCAAGTTCTGTATATGTTTATCAGAAGGTATTGATCTTTCAGTTATTTTGGTATCCATCTACATCTTTTACTTTGACTGGTGCTGGTACTATGGTGAAGCGCCGCACAGTAAAAGGGCTCCACGGGGCTATCTACCAGTGTGGCGGTACAGATAGCTAATTATCCCTCATTGTTTGTGGGTAAAAATGTTTTTTATTATTTATTTGATATTAGGAACTGAAAGATCAATATTATATTGGGCTGCCGAAAATCACAATATATCACTAGATAGTTTTTTTCCCCACACCCCTAGATGGGATATGACTTTGTTGTTTGGGAATCAGCACAGTCATCATTTGGCCCAAATGCTCTCCTTTTTGTCTGTTACACAATCTGCTCCTCACATACTGTTAACATATAAGCAGAGTGGTATAGAAGCTGCTTCCTTTGCACGGACTAAGGTGGGCTGCTTATGATCAGGGTTTGTCAACCTCTATAACTTCTTCCTGGGCATCAAATGTGTTTATGGGCTCTGCAGAATCCTCTGTATCTACCAGATATACATTCCAAGATTATTCCAGATGTTTATATTTACGTATGTGTTGTATATTCATTACATAAATATGCTCAGAGTGAACTGAAGTAAGACTGCTGAACTACCCAGCTTTGGCGCTCCTCTTTATTCTTTGTCCTCAGAACCAAATTAGATTTTGTGTGATGTTCTGACTTTATCCTGTTATGACGCCGTTTGCCTGTTTCCCATCTGCCTCCGGGCCTTTCATAAACCCAGTCAGCTGTATTCTGTTTTTTTTGAACGCTGATATTTTTCCTGCACCAGGGACAAATGACAAAGGAAGTGTGACTTCAAGGCAGAAGAGCGAGGATTTCATTAGGCGCGGCGAGGTAGAGAGGTCGCTACAGTTAGCTGTGGTGATGCGTTCAGTCAGGTGGGGTTCACGCTGCAGAGACTAATTAAAACAGAGGGAATATGCACTTTTAAATGTGATAAAACTTCAAACAAGTTTGTGCCAGTTATTCATTGTGACTGCAGACAGTCGGCGGCTGTCTCTGGAGAGGGAGCAGATGCCTTCAGTGTCCCCCATCTCCTCTCATAACGCACCAATTAACATCCAGCACTTCGCTCAGTCTGCTGCTCTCACTTTTTGATGAGACTTCAAGGTTTTAGCTTTTACCATTCAGCTAATTATTTATCTTACTATGGAGATGTATGCCCTGCTCTGTGATGGAAGTGTCCTGGCATAATGACCTTTGGAGATAGACCCCAAGCACCTTCTGACCCTGCTAGCATTCAATGGATGGATGACATCTATCTTATTACCCCAATTAAAGGGACTATATCCATATTTGCTGCCTTCTGGAAGCTGTCTTTACTAAATAATGCTTGGAAAAGTGATTATTGATGCCTGATAACGTTACCTTAGACACGACCTAAAAGAAAAAAGTTTTTTCTCACAATTTATGTTTCCATGGAGCAAACTTTATCACATAAAACGAGGCCAGATGTGATTAACATATATATTTTAATGATTTTAGATTGATTTAGAATCTACTCTAGAAGTGACATCTAAAGATTATTTGAAACTAAATCTGCTGTTAATCCAAGTATGAATGAAACCCCAGAATAATAAATAATGCTACTCTGCATACTGTAGTAAACATCCAGACTAGTTAAAGGTTAAACATTTACAGTGTGTGTAAATTTTAACAGTGTATTTCAGCTTCATAATGAGTCTGATCTCTGCTTAAGAAACTAGAAAGTTAAAAGGCAGGGTGATGTTGAGGTCCCAAAACCAAGCTGTCAGCTTTCAGAACCACAGCTAATCAGAGGATCAAGCCCTTTACTTTAAAATGACAGCCCCATTTCGAACCACTCACACAAAGGCCTGGACTTGTTTTCATGCTGCTTCCTGTCTGTCAGCTTGATTGATGTGGACATCCTGTCAGAAAGGGTGCTTGCTTCGGCCTGAAGGCCAGATTCAGTCTGGCTGTAGCCCAGGCTGTCTTTTTGTTTCCTCACCTTGAATTTGGAATTGGTTTGGATAAAAAGGAAATTTAACGGAAAAAATAAACTGACTGTCCATCCAAGCATCATCACGTTACTAACATTCCTATTGTGAGGCAAGGCAGTGGCAGCATCATGATGAGGGCATAGTGGGTTTTATGACAGGAGAGAAATATAAAGATATATATAAAAGAAGAGCCTAATCCAGAGCATACAGTTAAGATATAACATAGAGGCTTCAGAAGCAGTTAACCGTATTTATTGGCTCAGCTGGAGCCAGGACTTAAATCCAAATACACATGGAAAGATGAAAAAAATATTGAAAACTTTGATCAGTAATATTTTGTCATTATGTAGATTTTTTTGTCAAAAGTGGGGAACTTGATTTGTTTTGCAATAAAGCTGTGATGTAAAATATGGAAAAGTGAAGAGCTGGTAGTTCTTTCCAGATGCACCGTTGGACTAAGACGTTTTTTTCAAAGTAGGCATCCTGACAAATTCCATGACGATTACGGCACCATAGAAGGATGTGGAGATTTCGGGTCATCCCATGTGTGGAATTAGATTTGACTCCACCTATGCTCTAACAAAGACCCTGGAGAAATTTTTTTTCAGTTTCAAAGCTCAAATCCGAGAGACTAAAAGACATAAATTAATGTATAAAAAAGGTTATTGTACAATTTAGAAACTAGATATAGTTTTTATTTCTTATTTTTAGCCAGACTTTGCTTTCTGTTATGATAGTTGGATCAGTCATGCTATTATGTGAGGGGAAAAAATGAGGGTATGAAAATCATTCAAAGCATTTTTTCCATTACTTTGGGCTCACGTCATGTATGATGACCCGGCAGGAAAAAATAAAGGTAAACTAATCTTTATTTCAGCTCTGTATAGGACAGTCTTACACTTTTTAAGAGATTTATCCCCGTTTATGTCTTGCAGTTTTAAACAAACAGGAGATGTTTGACGTGACCATATTTTTTCCATATAAACTCTAACAGTGTTTCCTTTTTTTTTCTGTTTAGTCCTTTTGTTTAAAGTTGCTCTGTTTTGATTACACTGGGGACGAAGCTTCTCCCTGGAAGCATGATCCGTGTGGCGCGTGACATGTTAAATTGGTCTGTTTATGTTTCCCATCCTCAGTACTCACTCGTAAATGAGCCTTTGATTGAGCTGGCCAACCCGGGCGCTAGCGGCTCGCTCTTCTACCTAACCAGCGATGACGAGTTCATCATTAAAACAGTGCAGCACAAAGAGGCCAAGTTTCTGCAGAGGCTGCTACCTGGATACTACATGGTGAGGAACACAGTGCTTTTTCCTGTCTCCTGGTTGCCCCAATTTAAAGAATAAATAAAGCCAAACTATTATTTGCAAATCTGGAAAATAAAGGAGATCAAAAATAGGCATGAGTAGCTAATAATGTCAGTTTGTTTTCCCTGTTGACATTTTGCCAATATATCTGATCAAAAAGTGAATTAATAGCATTATTTTATTCTTCAGTATTTAATTTAATTGAATACAGCTATTTACAATCAGAAAATATAATCTATGCAGATATCCCCACATTAAATCTAAAACCTAAATTTAGGGTGGCGAGATAATTTTTCTCAGTATCATATCTAACATATGCATCCATGTGATGCTAAAGGAACAAAACCCTTTGTCACTCTTTAAGCTCTGCCTACAGTTTCTCTCTGATCAGATTTAAATCAAATTAGACTTTGCAGCTGCATTAATTCTCATCATCTCCTTTTGTGGCTCAGGTTGCTCTGTGATCATACATTCCTCTTACTTATGCTTTTGCATAAAAGGTTATTATTAATGCCTCCATTTAACTGTGCTAAACAAAGCTGCATACTGGATCTGAATCCAAACACAATGCACTGTTTAAATCCACAGAACCTGAACCAGAATCCCCGCACGTTGCTCCCCAAGTTTTACGGCTTGTACTGCATTCAGACGGGGGGTTTCAATATTCGACTGGTGGTGATGAACAACGTGCTTCCTCGCTCTGTCAAGATGCACTACAAATACGACCTAAAGGGATCAACCTACAAGAGGCGAGCGTCCAGGAAAGAGAGAGAAAAAGCCCGTCCCACCTACAAGGATCTGGACTTCCAGGACATGCACGAGGAGGGCCTCTACTTTGACACAGAGACATACAACAACCTGATGAAGACCCTGCAGAGAGACTGTCGGGTAGGTGGGGGTTAACTCAGGGTTTTTGAAAAATAGGGCGATAATGGGGCTCGGATTATTTGCTTTGAAAGTGTTGAGTTAGATTCCACTGCTTATTTCATTGTAAACACTCATTTTCAACTATTAGTACCAATTTTATTCCCATTAGAAGAACTGAGAGCATTTTTTATTTCTATGTTCTGTCCTGAGAAGTCATTAGTTTTGTTTAGGATATAAATAATTTTAGTAGTTGATCTAGAAATACATTTTTCTTTAAATTACTTGATTGACCTGTTGACTATTTTTTAGATGAACTGCTTGATGATGGGTAGATTTCTGCTCTAAGTAGGTGGTTCTTTTAGCAATGGTATTGTTTGAAGTCGGTAAACCAGTTAGCAATTTTTCAATTGTTATTTGTTCACGATTACTTCAATAATAATTGATTAAAGGCAAACTGTGTAACTTTTGGCCACTGGGGGCGCTAGACCTGTAACTTTTTACGTCTACACAGGTAAAAACAGCGGCCCTGCCAATTACATGGAGAAAAAAAATCCACACAGCTGTATCACAGGCGTAAAAGATTACCACTACTACGTTCTACTGGTTTTGCTTTAAGAAAGTAGGACTCTGTCTATGCCTGAGATTTACACATTTAAGCTGTGGATTTCTGTTTAAGCTGCTTCTATTAAACATGGAAAATAATAACAAAGTGTTAACTTACCAGTCTTGTAATAAAGTTGAGAAAAGAGAATTGGTTTTACAACCGCTGTTCTTTCAGATGAGCATACCCGGTCAGACCTGCATACCCATAGTCAATACTCATTTATCCATTTAGTTTATCCCCATTTATCCCTTTAGTTTATCCATTTAGTCTTTCCCTTTATTTTTGTACGAAAAATAAACTTTAAACTACCTCAACGGGCGTGTATCCCTTTAGTCATGTACAAAAAACAATTTAATTACTTACTTTTTGTTGTTTTTTGAAGCATATGGTGATCTCACCTTAAATTGTTTGGTTTTTTGTACATGAAAAAAGGGATACACGCCCGTTGGGGTAGTTTAAAGTCTATTTTTCGCACAAAACTAAAGGGATAAACAAAAAATCTGATGACTTGCGCATGCAAATTTACTATGGGTGGGCTGGTCTGATGAAGTAAGCTCATCTGACAGAACACCGGCTTCTTTTTTCAGCCTGCACCAATGAACAAATGCCTTTCCATGATCGACTCTTGTTTTTTCCTCAAGCACAATCCCTTTCACATTTTCTATTCTCCTCAGAAGGTTTAAACTTTTTCCTTGCCTCAGCCATAACCAGTAGTTGAAAAGGCGGAAAAATAGTAGAGCAAAAGCCTTAGCTCCACAACTGTATAGGAGCTTGCGTCAATAGAGCGATACGTTTTCCAGGTCACATGACCTAGCAGATAATGGTGCATCTTCTCTCAACTTACATAGCTGGTATTTACATAAGGGAGCCCCGCTCAAAGCATTGATAGAGTCAAGCCCTGTATATTAGTCTGAGGAATCATTAAAAAAACAAAAAAAAAAAGTATGTGTCAACTATCTAGGCTTTATAGAGCAGATGTCAAACCTTGTGAGAGAGTAGTCACTTATATCTTCAGCTTATATCTTCATTATAGCATCTTACATCACAAGTACGACTGGTTAATTTCTTATTATTCATTATAAGACATGCCAGTCTTTGTGGCTCTCCTAAGTCTTATGTCCTTCCAGCTGTTCTCAGACCACATTTTTCCATGATAGATGGAATCCCTAAAGCTGTGATTAGCAAAACACCACTCTGCGATATAACCGTTTAATAATGTGATCAGATACAGGATCTTTTGATGGATCAAATGTAGTGACCTAGCGTAGCCTCTCTGCTCTCTTTCCATCATCACAATGCCTCCACTGTTTTCCCTAAGCTTTTGGGTCTCAGTCACTGAGATGTAGTCTGAGTGGTTGGCTAACAGCATATCGGATCCTTTGTAATGGTGCTCTCACAGACACTGATGTTGTGATGTTCCTTAAAATGAAGTGCTGAGGTCATCTTCTGGTCGGTTTGCCTCAATCAGCAGTTTACAACATTTCCCTAGAATCTGTAGGAAGTAACACTCAGCGGCAGACGCATGGACGATATTTGGATTTTAGTAATGGCGTAACGACACAACAATAGGCCTGTGAGCAACATTATCTGGGTGGGCCCCATATGAAGTACAACACCATTACATTTGCAAAGACATGTCCTTGTCCACAATTGCGTAGGGGGCCAACCAGGTGTAAGTGAAGCCCATAAGCTAATGCTGTCTCTGCTTACTGATAGTTAAGCTATTGGATTTCAGAAGTGCGGGGGAGGCAAGTATTTTTTAATATAACTATCTTCAGGGCATTTGACCATTTAATCACAGACTGGATTCAATGGATTCAGTTGAGTTCATCAGATGTTTGTAAAATAAGGTTCTCAGGAGTGACAGCGGTGACAGTTGGAAAGACGGTGGGCCAATCAGGAGCTTGTGGGCGGTCTAAACTCAGGGAAGACGGCTTCAGCTTGAGCTGCGGTTTTCTGCTTGGTCCTAGGGCTCAACGAATGTCTATGTACTGTAGCATAGCATTGTTTTTTGGACAGTAAAATGTGCAGGAAACCAAAATGGACATTTTAAAAGTGGAGAGGAAATGTCCCCCCACTCAAGACTGTATCTTTACGAAGCGGAAACAATCACGTAATTCATAAAACTACACTGAAAGTCTAGCTTGTATCCATAACATTTTGTTTTAAATGCCTTCTCGAACCTGTTGTGTTTCCCTGATTTAATTTTTAAACATATCGATGATACTACAAAGGAACTGTGAGCTTTCTGCCTCAGTAACAACATTCACACATTTCTGTTAAATCCTGGTAAATCCATGTTTACCAGGGCAGAGTAAAAAGTAAATCACTTTTAAATAGATTTTTATAATTAACTTATATTTATAAAAAACAAAACAAAAAAAACCTTAAAATCTCAGATTGAAGATAGTCGTCCGAAATAAATAATCCCCGTCTGGTTCTTTTCTGGTCTCCTCACAAAGTAAGCATGCCATGTATAGTAAGATCCTAAACGTCAGTGAACATCATAACATCATATGACCAATGGAGCCACAGTCATGATGGAGACAGCACTAAGATTCCCCAGAGCATTAAAACAGGAGTCACTAAACAGCTTTATTAGGAATTAAACTATGACTAACAGGAAGAGATTTAAGTAGCTTTAACTCCTGCTCCTTGTCAGAGTGTTTGAACAGCTATAGGTCTAATATCCTGAACGATATGAAGTTATCAGGGAATTGCTGTAAATGTGGGCAAGGCCAGATACCTGGAAAATAGACTTCCTGGCAGTTTGTGGGAAGCTGGTTCTGCATCTGATTGTCTTTACACCCATTTTTTAATGATTGGTACCAGATGGTACCAGATTAGGGAAAAATGAGCTGCGGGTACATTTAGTTTTGGTCTGTTACATAAGCCCATTATCTGTTGTTTTTTTTTAAACAAAACATCAAGTGGCAATGTGTTTTTTTTGTTTTGTTTCCTTCATTCTTGCAGTTTTGAATTGTTTTCTGCAAGTTAATTGATCACTATGTTAACCAACACATATGCTAGATTAAAATTAAACCTTTTTTATGTATTTACAACTTTTAGAGCCTCCGTTCGCTGTAGTGTGTTGTTGTGAGGGCTTCCTGAGCTCCGCTTCTGAACGGGAAGCAAAGTGCCCTCTAAGCAGAATCTCAGTCCATTTTCATGAGTAAGCAGCTAACCCCGTCACCCCAGAGGGGACCTAAACACAGAGGAAGCGCTGTCAGAAGCTAAGCAACAGAGGGGTGAAGGGCATGGAGGGACTCACAGGGTTTTTTTTTCTATAAGGCCACAAGATCAATCTGTACTTCCAGAGCTTAGGTATTCAGTTATGTAATGTAGAAGGTCAGAGTTGAGCTGAAACAGAGCGATAGCAAGGAGAAAATGACAGATTTACATTTTGTGTTTCGCAGGACACTTGTAGGAAAACTCAGGCTGTGTTGTTTTCCTTTTAAGTCTCCATATCTCTGCAGCTCCCTTGATACTCTATAAATGCCAAAACAGCATTAGGCTTTAATAATTAATGTTGAACTCAGGGAGATTGAAACAGAGAATACTAATGATGGGGTAAGTGTGTGTTGGTAGCAACGAAGTGATGGCAAATGTAACCACTGCTTAACAGCAAGACAAACAGCGGAGAGGATGATGATACCAAGCTGTTTTCACTGGACTTCACTCGAGATCTGATCACATTTTAGTTATTATTGCAGATTTATTTTTATTACGAACGAATAGACGAGTAAAAGGAAGGGTTCTCACTCTATGAATTCATTATGGTTTCAAACCTGCTGCAACTTTTCCAGCATTTTGACCTTTATAGGGCACTCAATGATATGCTTTACAAATCTAAATTTTAAGCCATTATGGGAGAACAGGACCTAATTTATTTTGTAACATTTAAAATATGTATATTTTGATGGCAAAAATCAAGGTTATAAAAAGAAATGGTCATATTCCCTAATATGTAAAAAAAAAAATTCTCCGATAAGAAATTCATGAAAAAAACAGAGTGAAAGAAACATAATTTTCACAAAAACACAACCTTAGAACATTAATGATGATACAGACATGCAGTTTTTTACTTTTTAACTTAGCTCATTAACTTTTTATTGTAAAATTTCTACTTTTTAATTAGCTTTCTAACTCTTTCAGTTAGCTTTTTACCTTTTTAGCTGAATTAGTAAAAAAAAAATTCTAATTAATTTATAGAAAGTAAGAGTTATGAGAAAAATATTTAGATTGACAACAGGTATTATGGAGCCTCTGTCTTCCTGCACTCTTTCTTGCACACTGCTGGTCAGCAGGCTAAATGAAGGCATCCATATTTTCATACACTTTCATACACAGCTGTTGGAAATATATATTTTTAAATAAATGAATTTTATCATTTTGATGTATTTTTTAAACAAATTTTTAAAAATATTATTGAAACAGGATTTTGTTTGCTGTAAATTGAGATTCTTGTACCGGCCCAAGCCTGATATTCACAGTAAGCATATTGAGTGTGATTGAAGAACTCATTATTCTGCATAGCAACAGTTTGACCTGTAAATTAAATGGGGGTTTATCACCAAGTTGCACAAAGATGCACAGATATTGGAAACATTTAGTCAGTGCAGAATTAGTTTTTTGTTCATGTCTAAGCCAATTATGAGTATTGATCGTCTTTACCTTCTCTCATAGTCCCAACAATCATCCCGAGATAAAAAGCTTGACTGGATAAATTAATTTAAATAGGTTTCTGTTTCTTAAAATAAAAAAAGAAACAAACTTTCTTGAATGATCAGAATGTAAAAAACTTAATTAAGTAATGATGACCTGTTAGTTGAATGATAATCCTTACTGACATAGATATAAAATTACTAGTTTAAATAGTTGATTAGGTTTTTGGATTTCTTTTTTAACTCAGGTTATGGTTCATCCTGCACCATAAGTTAAGCATAGGTTAAACTCCCCCGGCTACTTAAAAAAATTTTGTATATCCATATAGAAGAAAATGAGTTCTATAGATGTGAATTTATAGCTCTAAATGATCCATGAAGAGAAATTGTTCCTGCAGGAGTAAAACCACTAATCCAAACCAAACATATGCAAACCAGAATGAATGCTTCCCTCTGATCATAAAACCATCCAGCGATCTGCTGAAGTTTTAGTCTCTGTCAGATTAAACCACAATAGTTTCCCTTTAAATAGCTTTCTCTGTTTCTTTGTCTGACTTATTTTAAACACCTTACTGTTACTATAAATATCTGGCTTTGAGTCTTCAGTCAGTCACAGATCCCACACAGAACAGCGTTAATACACACCGGAAGAAGTGCATTCTTTGCCAACTGAAATTTTCGTTTGTATTCATGTTTTTTTTATTATTATTATTATTACCAGTCGGTAACATATTAAATTTTCTGATTTTCATCCCCTTCTGTTTCTATAGAAATAACAGCTGATATCAGCCCATGTAACCAGAACTTAAAGGTGGTGTATGGGTCTGCATCAGGGGCTTGATATTTGCAAACAACTGATGCTGTTACACTGATTTGCAACGTTCCCAGGATCAGAGTGTAATATTTGGCCTCAAGCACAAGCAGAAATGGTTGTATATTCGGAGCAGATAGACTCAGACCTGAGAAAGCTTTTAGTGTGTTAATGTCACTCCAAAATGAGACACAAGAGGCAGCGTCCTGAGAGGATCTACCATTACTGTTGTGCAGATTGATCGGTAGAGTGCTGGAAGGGTAAGTGAGATGCATTAGGGATTCAGCAGAGAATCTAATGACAGAGCATAGTGTTTGTATAATTATCATTCCCTTTTCCCTGTAAGAAAAGTGAGCTTGGTTGAATGGGAATGCAGACATGTCATCCAGGGGGATACGCCCAGATAACTGGGAAAACGGTCATTTTGTTTCGTGAACTTTAAGGAAAAATAGCTTTCTATCTGTTGTCATGGCGTAGATGTTTGCTGGGGGGAAGCTGAGGCCTGACCAGGCGGTAATGGCTTTCTGTAGGCAGCTGGGTTCCGCATTGGCTGCTGTTTGAATAGGCTGTGGGAGTTCTAGTGAGGGATGCAAATAGTTGATATGGAAAAAGGCAAAGTGCAGACAAAAGACTGTGTGTTTTGTTCCAGTCAGTCAGTCAAATTTCACTCCTTTCCCATTTTTTTTTACTTTATTTTAATACTTTTTGCAGCAGAGTTTATTTATGAGACATGAACCAAAAAAAGCAAGTGTTTCTTTTTTTTTTTTTGTTTGCTGTCCTTCACACTTTCTGAGCTGTAACAAAAACAGATCAGTCTGAGGAAGGGGGACATCTGTTTTTCAGTGCAAGTTGGTGCAGATTAGGTCTTCTCTTCACTTTATTAGTGGCTTAGAGGCTTTTTCTATTTACTAGTTATGCATTAATACTGTATGTATGATCGATCATGTTCTCTATATAATCCTGCTTTCTGTGGCAAAATGTTGCTATGATTCTTTTTTAGATTAAAATGCAGCTTTTCAGAAAGAGACATCCAATATGACTTCCTTTGAAAGTAGTTATATCTTAACATTTCTTGCATTTTTCATCTTATACTCATTAACCTCTTGTATTTATAAAATTGTTTTTATTTCTTTAAATCTTTTAAAACTATTATTCATTTTCTTTTCAAATCAAAGTCACGTGTACGTCAAATTTCTTTACACTATTGGTTGTAATTAACCTAAAAAATTTAAAATATCAGTTTAAAATAAAAGGAGTGAGGAAGCAAACATTTAAAGTGTTCTGGTGTTATAAGTTGTTTGCAGAGAGGTGCTTCAGTCTGGGTCATAAACCAGACCTGGTTAGATGGTTTTGACCCTGATACTATTCCCGTCTGTCTCGGCCCCTGTCTCGCCCAATAAGACTGCATTTCTAAAGAACATGAGGTCACTGGGTCTCTGGGAAACGGGACAAAATGCTTCTCAAACAGGTCAATGTGTAACACTTGGCTCGCTGTGGAGAAACACCTTGTTTGTTTACCTCAGAACCGGCTTCAGCAGAGATTTTATTCTGTGTGCACAGAGATCCAAGTTATTTGAGTGGGAATAAAAACACTTATGGATGTGTCTGAGCAAAAGTAAGACGATCTCTAATTAAAATGTTTTTTCACATGTTGCAATAGGTTCTGGAAAGTTTTAAAATCATGGACTACAGTCTGCTGCTTGGTATCCACGTCCTGGACCACCGGGAGGGGGGGGAGTCGGCCCAGACTGGGGGAGACGGCAGGAGAAACGTAGGTCAGAGGGCACTTTACTCCACGGCCATGGAGTCCATCCAAGGAGACGGCAAAGCTGCGGAAGCCATCCCCACGGATAACACGTGAGTTTGTTCAGCTGGAGAGCTGAATTCTGGACACACATCTAGGCCCGCCGTCTCTATCTGAGTCTCAGTCTTTTATCTTCTTATATCATCACAAAGACTCACACACAGCCATCCTCATACCTCGCACAGGGCGACGAAAGTCCGCCTCTCACATAACCATAGCTACTAAAAAAACACAAGCAAAAGCCTCTGTTCTGTATTTACTGCAACGCAAATGAATGTAAATAGAGTGAGGGCCGCTTTTACAGACACTTATAAAAGTGAGGCAGCACACTGGCTTTATTTGAACAAGGCTTCAGGCCTTAGAGAGAAACAGTAGCTCCTCATTTAATTCTTTTTTTTCTCCGTTTTAGGATGGGTGGCATCCCAGCTAAAACACACAAAGACGATAAGCTGCTCATCTTCCTGGGTATTATAGATATTCTACAGTCATACAGGTACCAGTCCTAATTAAATTACCTCACACTGCTTTTTTTTCTTTCCTGTCTTTTTTCATATTTTTTTATGGGCTTCAGTTTTTCTTTTTTTCAAAAAGGAGATGTTTCACCATTATATGATACGATAATAGCTCACACTGACAGAGTTAGAGCCTTGTACAGTAGAGGCCAACGCCTCCTATGTTGAGTTATGATCCTGGATTGATGGGAAGAGCTACAGGACACTTTACCATAAGCCTCCATCCATCAGGTTTAAAAGACCTCAGATGGTCATCCTTCCTCTCTATTTATGTATTGATTTTATTTTTTGTTCTTGATGCAAAAAAAGTCCGATAAAGGATGGAGCCTTAATGATCAATGACTTTATAAAGCTGTCAGATAAAAAGGGTATAAATCTTTATCAGCCTGTCTGGTTGATCTCAACTGGTAAATACTGTCTTTTTTTAGTTTCACAATTAGGTAGCGTGAGGTTAAAAAAAAAAGTATTTGCCCCCTTTCTTCTGTTTTTGAAATAATTTGAATTAATATTTAAAATCTTTCAGATCATCAAGAAAATTTTAATAGCAGACGCGGTCCGTTTGGTTAAAAGATATCACTTTTTAAAAGATCACTTTTTTGCAAAAATAAAAAACACAAATAAATCCTCCTTACAACCCTGACCCTATGTGAAAAACTAATTGCACCCTAAAGCTAATTAAGGGTTTTGCATCCCTCTACGGCAGCATTCTGTATAAATTTGATAATGCTGTGGATTGAGTCCCCAATAGATTGAATTTACTTATTAAGAGGCCAGGAAGAAGCTCAGGTGGATTAGTTCTGGGAATAACATCTAACATGCTTTGCTACAAGAATAGGCTAAATGCTAACAGGGCTATAATGATGTATTTCTCTTCCATTTTATTGCTTATAAACTCAGTAGCTGCATATTTAACATCAGATATCGGGGATTATTTAAATGTTATTGATTGTTACACATCTAGTTTTATAAACTGATCCTACAGATTTTAACATATGGACTAGTTAAGAATGTCCAGCTTTGCTGCATGAAATTCTGTGTTTAGTTAGGGTCAAAATTTCCAACCGGAATTTGGAAAATAGAAATTGAACGTAAACATATTTAAACCACATCCTTCAGCCGAACTGTCTGTAACACTAGTGTTTAAAAATACCCAACCATATGGTGACACATCGTGAGACGAGTGTTTACCAAGGTGATGATGTATAAATAATAAAACCTAACAAGTTATACTCAGATCTTAAGCTGTCTGAATACTTTGTTTCTGGCTAAAATTGAGCTTCTCTTTGTTGTTTGGAAAAGGCATCCCAGAGTACCAGCTCAAAGTGGAAGTTATTAACGCTGGAAGATTTGTGACAATGCCTCCTCTTGTGTCATCCCTCTGCAGGTTCATTAAAAAGTTGGAACATTCCTGGAAAGCCCTGGTGTACGATGGTGTAAGTTGAAGCTCTGCAGGAATCTGAAACTGAAGGATTTTATGAATGAACTCTTTATTCGGCTGCATGCTGTTGAGCTTAAAGGTCGCTGTTTTATTTTTTAGGATTCTGTTTCTGTCCACCGGCCCGGGTTTTACGCCAGCCGCTTCCTCAAGTTCATGAGCACGCGGGTCTTCAGGAAAAATCATCGTAAGTCTGAGAGGTGACATGTTCATGGTAGGGGAGAGAGAAAGGAGGACTGCATCAGATCCTAACCGGGCATGGATCATATCACATATCTATGGTGATGGTTTATGGATCTGTTTATGTTTAAGGCTTTCATGAATAACACTGCTAATAGCAATGATTTTAGCTGCAGTTTTAATTTCATAAGATGATTCTTTTTATGGTAATATAAGCAGCGAGGAGGAAAAACTCTGCAGAAATACAGTCTAAGACAAAAGGGCACCAAACAGATTTCCAAGCCACCCAGGAACTTCGAAACTTTCTCTGAACATCCACGTCTACATCTTAGGGATAAACCAGCAATTGACCCAAAATCATAATTAGTATAAATAAAAGTCTCAATGTATTCAGATATGAATTATTTATCAGCATTTTTACTTTGATGAAAATCAGATCAAATGCTTTGAATTATTAGGAGTTGTTGTGCTTCAGCAAAACCCAGCACTACTGAGCAGCAGAAACCAAGTCAAACTTTTTATTCGTAATTATTCCAAGCAATATACTCCTATTAGTAATCTGGATTTGCTCAGAGAACAATTTATTTTGCTTCCAGCAAAATCTACCATTGTCTTGAATTTCATTATTATCCATATATGGTAATGGATGGGAAATATCTGAATGTTGAGCTTGCATCAAAAATAGTGTCTTTATAATTACTTATCTGCTTGGAGAAAACAATAGAAAGGCCAATTGGGATTTATTAATGTTTCCTACTTTAACACTTTCAAATTATCTGTCTTTAAGATATATACGGGATCTTTTATGGTGCTGAAGGTTAAAATCAGAGCGCCATATGTTTCTCACTGTCAGGTCTCTGAGGACACTTGTCCTCATAGACTCTGTTATGTCGCATGAAGATCTAGAGCTGCTGCGTTTGTCTTTTCTCTGTGTCGGCGGGGCTCTTGGTAAAATTGGAAAGCTGCTCCACTGATTTAAGGACTATCACCAAGTCCTGCCAGAGGGAGGTGACAGGAAGGGATTTCATTTCATGTCCTGCTTTAGGGGATCAGGATTTATATCATTTTAGCGATTTAAAAATCTACTCATTTTGAGGTTGTAAGACTAACCATGTGTGAGCCCTTCCTCCGTCACAGTCTATTCCGCTATCTCTCCCCTCTGCTCCTGCCTGCCATGAATCACTTATTTTTTTAAATCCTTTTTTATCTCACTTCTGTGTGTTTTTTCCTTTTTTTTTTTTCCTGCTCTGCAGCAATTCGATTCTCTCCCTCAAAGAGGACCCGAACCTCCATCCCTGCTCTGAAGTCGTCCTCACAGGAGATCCTTTCATCGCAGGCGGATGAGAGGCGTGAGGAGGAAAGGAGGGACAGGCTGGGAGGGGCCCGGAGCCTGGCCAGTCTGGACGGACAAGGTATAGAAAGAGAAAAACAAAACAAGATGATTTATCTTTAATCACTTATTCCATAAGCATTCTGGTAACATCTAGGAATATTCAGTTAGCTCATTTTTATTGCTGTCTAAAATATCGCCCAGTTTATCGTCGTGAGCTTTAGTAGGGTTTTCTTCCTTTTGTAGTAAATGAGCCTTTTACAAATAGCTAAGGCCATTAAAACGTCTCCTTTCATTCAGCCATAAAGTGCTTTGCCTCTGGCCAAGTTGTCGCAGATTAATTCTTTGTTTGGCCCTGCAGGAAAGAAAGCAGAAGCCACCTAGTTAATTGTATCCTCTCAGATGTAGCTCGTGTGCATGTCTATACTTTAAAATGAAAAAATAAGGACAAAAAGGTGAGGGGGGGGTTTCAGTCCCCCTCTTCTGTCAGAGTCGGCTTAGTGGCCATGATCTGACCTCATGACAAGGAACCGGTAATCAAAGTCTGATAAAGGAAAGTGCAGCAGCTGCAGATGACCTTTGTGTTAGAGGCTCCTCTTAGGCAACGTGTCACCGGAAGAAACGAGGGAGTGGTGCTAAGACAGAAAGTCAGGGTTTGGTGATTTCATATGTGATGAGCTCTCCCTACCAGAATATCCAGCTGTGTCACTAAAACACAACAGAGGAAATTCATTTGCTCCACTTCCTGATTTGTTCCTCTTGGTTTCTGGATCGTCCTCAAAGGAGAAAGCAGCTGTTTGTTTTACTCTGATGATGGAGTCAGATACAGAGCAATGCATCAGTGTTATTGGAACCTGCTAATCAATCAACTGTACGGCACCCTCTACCTTTTACATCCTCACCTCCAGTTAAGATATAATAATTCATTTTATTTAAAGAAATCCAGCAGAAGCCTGGATTTCTATCTATCCATTTAATGATTAATGATCCAATTAAATCAATCCAAAATGAAAAGATTGACCTTTATTTTGAAATTCTAAAGGCATGAGACTATAGTCTATTGGTAATCTGTTATTATTATTGTATTATTGTATTATTGAATGCTGTTTTGGATTTAAATACATGATGCCCGTAGTTTAGTAATTAAATGGTCAAGTCATATTTGAGGTTTTTTTTTGTGTGTATTGATAACAATGTAAATAGTTGTCTTAGATGGTCTGGTGATATTGCATCGTTTTGATTCCAAACTTCGAAATTGAATTGAATCAAATCATATTAAGTCATAAACATTTTATCATCACCAGAATGAATTGATATACGTCCTATCGTGATAATGATTGTGATTTACACCCCTAAGAAGTGTCCGGGAGAATATAAAGCTACCTATAAGATATACGTTAAAATACTTGTGAAAGCAGGTGTGAAACATCCCTAGTTGGACATGAATTAACTCACAGTGGAAGATGACTGCATTTTGGGCTCACCTGTTCAGAACCAAAACTGCAAAAATCCAAAGTTATCAAAGAAGCAGGTGACTGCGAACCATTAAAAACTCCTAATTTTCCCTGTCAAAATGCAAATGCATCACTTATATACTATTTGAGGGTTCCAATTTCTTTTTAAACCTTTATAGACCAGCTCCAAGATCTACCAAGCTTAAATGATGTGTTGGAGAATAATTTGTTGGTCATTCCTTTCTATGTCTGCAGCTGTGTTTGGTTCATTTCTGCGTCCTGATCTGGTTCCTGCCAACCCGTCCTTCTACGAGGCCTCCTCCACGGGGACCATCTCCAACGCTTCCATCTATGTAAATGTGGATAACCAAACAGAAGAGAGGTAATTTCTGTTTCTTTCAAATCTTCTGATGCTCTTCAAGGTACACTTCTCTAGTTTGAGGTCGGACCTGTTTTGTCTGCTGAACCGCTTTAATCATTCTAGCCTGTATTCAACATGGTGTCAGAAATATTAGATTAGGACAGCGAACGCATCATATTGTTATGATGTGGTGCATTATCTAAAGTTTACTTTCCCTCACTTCAAACACCTTACTTGATATTTTCTCTGGACCTTGCTCTGTTTATACCCAGGTTGGTCACTAGTTTGTGAAATTCTCAGACCAACCTGTCTCTCTTCTAATTAACTTAAGTTCCTTCTCATCTTATTTTGATCCTTGTTTTGTTCAATAGTCTTCTTCACCACTTAACTTGGTGCCGTACAATTAGTTGATTTTCTGTTTGTAATTATTATACGAGTCATCCTAAATCCAAGATGGAGAGCATGTTAAAGGAGCAACAAGTAAGGAATTTACCGTAAAAGTAAACAAGATCATCCTGGGATGGAAGTATCATTCTCTATAAATAATCTTGGTTAAGTTTCCTTATAAATCTAGAGGTACGGTGTGGAACTATTGTAGAGTGTGGTGCGTGTTTACTTTGTGGTTCCTGGGCCAATTACATGAGAATTTGTAGGGTTACCAAAAGAGAATTCAGCATGCAAAAGAGCAGCAGCCTGCAAACATGGAAGCTGGAAAAAGAAGCTGCTCAGAAATTGTCGGAATAATACCTAGAAGCCCAACTTACTGCATAGGCTTCACTCGTCATCTTGAAATTAGCTGCACTACATCCTCATCTCTCTCTTAACCTGCATGACGTTCTCTGAGTGGGTGGGGGGGGAGGCTTGGAAAAATTGATCCGATACATAGAGATTTCCAGAAAACAACTCTGTTGTCAAACTGGAGTGTTATTTAAACCTTGGAACATACTTCCCAAAGAGGATCGCAGAAACCAAGGGGGAGTGGCGGCCCAGTTGTTAGGGCATAGAGCTTGGAATCCTGAGGTTCTGAGTTCGAGCGCCACTCCCACAGACTGCCACTCTGGCTCTCTGAGCAAGTCCCTTAACCCCACAATGCTCCCCGGGCGCCGCACAATGGCAGCCCTCTGCTCCCTAAGGGGACGGGTTAAATACAGAGGTAAATATCTCCAATGTGAGATCAGTAAGGTTAAATTATTCAATTATTAAACAGAAGCTATCTTTTGCCCCGTTTTAAATCGGACTAATAATCCAGGTGATGGTTTTACATTAACAGGTTTTGTTACACCTTGATCACCTCGGTGTAAAACCTCACCCTCTGGCAGAAGGCTGTTTAATACGCCTCTTCCTAGAAATCTTTTGTCCTCTGCCCTCTTTATACCTGTTTGTCTTTCACCTCCCTTCCTGTCTGCCCACGTCGGCTCAGCCGTTCTCGCAGAGGCTCCATTTTTGGACTATCCGGGTCTCGTCAGTCACCTGCTGCCACCCTTACATTGTCCTCTAGACTGCTTTAATGTTTATTTAAACAGCAGCTTTGATACAGTTTTAACCTGCCAATGTCAGGCCACACAAAGGCTGTGACAAAGTAGAACAAGTGGCGCGTTAGAGGCCAGATATATGCAAACAATGGGCCCTGTGTGAAGAGCAGTCAGAGAGGGGTGTGTAAAGCTGCAGCCGATCTGTTTTTCTATCTTCTTCTCTCTGGAATTCATTTTCACTTTGTTAAAAAAAAAACGATTAATGATTTCTGTCATAGAACGGTTACATTGCATTCCTGCATTTATCAGGGAGTCACCTGATCTACACAGTAAAAAAAAAAAAGTGTTCTTGACGCCACCTAGTGCTTGAAGCAATGCTATGGTTTTTTTTAGGATTTTCTTCTCTAGGATTTCTTTCTAATCTGTCTAATATTAAAGTGTTTGGTTGGTTTCATAAACCTGCCATGATCAGCTTCATTCAGCTATCTAGCTGCTGATCTGAGGGGCGATTGAAGAACTTGAAGGTTGAACCTTAGTGTGTTTCCTACAAACTTCCTCTTTTCTTTTTGTTGAAGTTGCATCATTTTTGCTTCATCCCTGACTGAAAAAAACACCAGAAATCTCGCTTCTCTGTGTGAACAAGTTCAGTTTTCCGTTCTTGTAGACATTGACGGGGTGTTCCAGCAGCTTTCAGTTCAAAGTTACTTATCGCCTATCTGGCTATTTTCAGATGGTTTTAACCATTCAGCAAAAACGAGTGGTCCAATATCCAGCTGGAACAAAGGAGAATGCTTGTGGATGGCCATAAAAGGCCTGTAGTGAAACACTTTCAACCTGCAGAAGTAGAGGTTTAAAGCTATGAGTATAAATCAGCTTCTGACCAGACATGTATTTTCACAGTCTGAAGTGAGCGAGTCAAATGATTCACATTTGGACAGATTCAAATCCTGAACCCAGACTGAGTCTTTTGATACTAAACTAGTTGGCTATGATTTATTTCTGCAAAGTATTTTAGGTTTCTGCCTGTTCTCAGACCCTGTTTACGCAGCTGCTTTCAAATCTGAGAAAAAAAACTCTCAGGTTTGGGTAAAAGTTCACTTCTAAATGCACTGTCCTGTTGCAGGTATGATATTGCATCCAGCTCTACATTCACGCTGGAGGACAGCGCCATCTGCCTCACTTCAGAGCAAAGCACCGTAGATGTAGACATAGATCGGGACGATGGATCGGTTCTTGACGTGTACTTGGTAAGTTATATCTCTGATCCCTGCAGGGTTACTTTTAGGAACATCTATTATATTTATAATATGATTGAATTCAGTTTATTTATAATTTACAACCTATAATCTAAATTAACTTTGTAGAGGAATAAATGATGTACGTCCTCCAGCTGCTTAGAGAGTGATAGTGGACTGTAGCTGTGAGGTGCAGGGCATGCAGAGAGCAGTCAGTCTTTACGACCCTGCTGTTTTCAAGAGGTCCTCTTGGGGGTGCGCCACTCACTCACATTCACTTACTTTTACTGTGAATGTGAAACACAAAGGTTTCAGATTTATATATGGACTTAAAACGTGGTCTGAGAGAAGAACCTTGGAAACCTAGCAAACTAGCACCCCATCCAGGGATTTAAAAGTGCCATGAAGGTAGCTTGATCTCACAATGAAGACTGAATTCATCATTTAAATAGCCATCTTCCATTCTGCTCCCAATCATTGTTACTCTGATGCCTTCAAAATGTTCCTCTCAGCAACTCAACAGTAAAGTCTACTTTATATCAGTGAGTCATGCAGCGACTGTGAAAGCCTCACATTCCATCACGTAGTCAGTATATGTTTAACTCAGGAAGGTTTAGGTAATCTTGAATATGTCTTTTCATATTTTCACAAATGTGGCAAATAGACGGGAAAGCAAAACACCGAGATACAATCAGAGCAGCGACAGTGAATACTCTCACATTGTCTCAGACACAGAAAAAAATAAACAATTTTATGGTAAAACATTAAACAATGTTTTGGTGGCACCACACCCTTTAAAAATAATCTTTAAGACTTTCTTTAAAAAAAAAGAAAAGAAAAAGAAAGAAAACGAAACATATTTATTTCGAATTTATTACCTTGAGAGGTTTCCAGATGACTCCATTGGAGATGCTAAATCTTTCATATATTGTAGTGCTTTCCTGTTTTTTAAAGTCAAAATGTTTTTTTAAAATAAAAAAAAAATATATTTTTGGTTATTTTTGTATGATTAAAAAATAGATGTGTATATATATAAAAAGGAGCAATTGTGACTTCCTTTCCTCTAAAATATCTGCTTTATAACGTATTTTAACCATAACTTTGTTCTTTCTTTTACAGTAAAGTTGTTTTTAAATTCTTCATTGCCTCCTGCTACGCATAAGACAATCTCCACACTCCATTGGATGCACCGGACTGGAAGTCGGTCTCCGCTAGCTCCGCTACATCCACGATGCCATTTGTTGTTGCCAATTCAAAAAGACAACCTCCGAACGCCTGTTTGGTTGACGGACGTCTTCGCCGTTAGAGCAGTACCAACGTGAGCCTTTCTACAGCACGTTTCAAAGCAGCCCTATTAAGTTTTATATGTCTGTTGTTTTTTCATCGATTCGCAGCATACATTTCTTTTTCTGGTTACCAGAAAGACTTAAATGTTTGCAGCAGGGAGGGCTGCTGCTAAGAAATGTTTACAGTGAATTTATGGCAGCATCTAAGGACTGCTCTATGAAGGATCAACTCACTTGAACAGACTTGATTATAAAAGCTCCTGAGGCCAAACACAGACTGTAACGTGGCCAAATGTTCCTAACAAAACAGCTATTTGTGCTGCAAAAGGAGAACACGATGCTGAGAGTGAGACGAGACGGTTAGCTGATCCTGGACGATGCACTTGCTGCTGGCACTTTTGACATTGGTCCCAATTACTGTAAGAAACATGTTCTTTTCTCTAAAGACATTTCTTAGGTGGGTGGTCCACGAGACAATAAGCACAGAGTCGGATGTGTGAAAATGCACTTTTTTTATTTCTTCCTTCCTCTACAAATGCACACCTGTTTTATCGTTGATACGACACGTAGAGGCACAGAAAGGAGCACTGCACATCATGTTTGATGTGGAACTGCCAGCTTTGAGGTTGGCCTCATGATTGGGATGCTTCTGCTCAGGACTCTCTGAAATGGAACAAGTACATTATGAGACATGAATCCTACACATGCAGCTCTCTGATACCTCATCATGGCCAACTATAAACGTTCAACTCCACAATCAAGTCTGATGAGAAAATAAGTTATTGCGCAAATCTTAATCATTCACCATCTGCTGAAATAAACACGTAGGTTGCTGAATGTAAAGAAAATACATATTTATGTACAGGAATGCTTCCTATAAATAAACTTCTTTAAAAATCACTGAATGAGCTTTTTTGACTTCCTGAAGGAGAACTTAGTTTTTAATCCTCTAGAAGAATCAGTCTGCTCTTTACTACTGCTGGGCTGTGTAGTTTTCCTTATTGATACATCTATTAAAGAGGTCTCAAATTAATGAAGAGAATGGTACTGTACAGGTTTGGTTGGGTGAGAGGAGAGGAGCTCAAACTCTGTGGTGCTGGAAGGGTGTGGTCCAACAAAATGTGTTGACTTTGCTCAATGGTCAATAATTCACTGCAATAATTTTACACCAATTATAAAGAAAAAAAACTTCAAGTGGTAATAGTTTTAGATCCAGAAAACGTTAACAGTGCAGAGAAAATGAGGTAAGGAACTGACAAAGATTTCCATAAAAACATCAACAGCTGGGCTTATCAGCTATTTGAGAAAGGGCACCCTCTGGTGGGCGTTTCTGCACACTGCAACATGCTGTAACATCTGCTTGGGCCTCATTTTATGGTCCATATTTGTGCTCAGCTACTTGTATTCTTGCACCACCTTCACTCCTTATCCAATACATTAAGACTGCAGAGGGAGGAGGCCTATTTCTTACATTTTCTTCACATTAATGTTCAGGTAAGAGGACTAGCCTCACCCCACTGACAGGGATCTTCAACTATTCTCCTTGAGGTTTGATGTCCGGCACCTTTAAGCTCGATCTACTTCCATAAACCTCAAATGGCTGAATTATCTCCTCAGTGTGCAGTCAAGTTGTAAAAATGTAAAGTCTGAATTCTAGATAAGCGTTTATTCCAGCAGCAAAGTGTTAAACTTGAAGTTTGAGAACAATCCTGAATTAAATATGAAAACTGAAATATTTGATCACAATCAGCGACTGAAAATGTTTCCCTGACCCAGTCAAACTTGTTCTTTATAAAAAAAAAAAAAAATGTGTTCAGAAAAACATAAAAATCCCCATCAGCAGCAGCGAGAAAACCTAAAATATTTGGCGCTAGGAGAATAAACTTTTTCTGCCTCCGGGCGAATCTGTCTCAGTAACAAAAACCTGCCCCCATGTGCTATTTGCAGCCAATCTCCATCAGAGCTTCTGTTATATATTCTTCCCATCTCCCTTTAAAATATAAATCCTTTCATTTCAACTTAAACTGATAGTAGTGGTGCCAACATTATCACCATTTAAAAAAAATCATTTTATAACTGTTATTTTTTCCATCAGATTCACAAATAAATTGTATATTAGTGAAATTTTTAAATTAAGCTACAGGAAGACATGCTGATTTTATATTGCTTTTCTCATTTCTTTACCAAAGGGGTCATTAAGTGTGAACGATTGATGGTTTGCATAAACAGTACACTTTTATTCAGGTCGTTTGTGTAATAATTTTACTTTACAGAACATTGTCAAATGCAAATACATTTAGTGCAAATAATAACACTTCGGATGTACAACTTAGAAATATACAAAGTCTGTAGATTGCTGACAAAATACAATTAAAAACCCTAACTGCATTCTTCAGATGATGTGACAATCTAAACTATTAGCAGAACGATAATCAGGAACCTTCCAAACCTCTGAGATCATTAAATCTGCAGGTAAGTTTTCCAAACCATGCAGATCAGCCAATGGCAAAACTCCCAACGCTCGGTGGCGTTAAAACACAATCTAAAAAGTCATGAGGTACGATGACGTGAAATGTGGACCCACCACTCCCCCCAGCTTCAATGCAGTGTTGAAAAATGCACGTCTGGTGGCTGTAAAGTAGAGAAATCTTGAATGTTTTAAGGTTCACCCTGGTGTCTAAGGCATTCTTTGGGGGGGGAGGTTAATTTATCAGTCAAACGACTGGATGCCGCTGCACCGTAGTGTGAAATGTAAATTTTGCACAACTGAAAGCGAAAGGTATGATTGATATACTTCCTTACACCTAACAGTTTCCCTTCGGTTGGACAAAGGCAGATCCCATTTTTAAACCTGACGTATACAAATGGCTATTTATTTTCTCTCTTGCAAATTATTTAAAAAAACGACGTACTAAGTGGATCTTATCCTCTCTCAATTAAAGAGAGGAATCCTTCCATCAGATGCAATTATTTGCAAATGTCTGACTGAAACACTGAGCTGAAGGTTAAAGACAAACATGCTGATCATAACTTAGCCTCCTCAGACCAGTCTTCCACTTTATCAGTTTAGCTTTTTTTTTTTTTTTTTTAAAAATGGTCCAAGAAAAGTTAATAATCAAAATCTCTCACTCTCCCATCGCCTCAGCTCATTACTGTCATCAGATTCAAGCGTTTAACAGTCAATTCACATTTGTCATGTTGGTAAACTAACTGAAAAGTTACTCTCTGTACAATACATTGTGTCTATGTGCTCTCTGAAAACTAGTTTATAACAATTTAGAAATATAAAGATTTCAAAGCTGTAGGCTCTGACCCCCCATCGAACAATAAAGAGTTGTCAAAAGAAGGACAGGACAAGGCAAGAACAGGGGGGCCGCTGCTCCTGGGAGCATCCACACTCCTCTGCCGTGGTGCTTTCCTTTAGCAGCAGCAGCAGAACAAGCAGCTGTAATACTAGTGATTATAGCACACCCAAAAAAACGTCCAGATAGAGGGAATCATAAGAAATGTACAAAACAATTTACAAAAAAAGAAGAAAGAAAAGCACAACTAATTGATAATCTTTCAAAAACTCTTGAACTGAGTTTAAATGCACTTTCATGGCCACCAGACGGCAGCAGCCAGTAGGATGAGGGATTGGTGTTAGTGCCCTCATCTTCCTGCGGGACGTCCTGATCATATGCAGTCCTGCTAGGAGTTGTTGTGTAAATAAAAAGAAGGGGAGCCTTGTGCTTTCTGACAGTTTGTTGATTGAAGAGCATCATATCTATGATGGACAAGCCTGACAGGATTAGGAGAAATAAAACTGTGAAAAAAAAAATAAATAAATTTAAGGTTACAATTTGTTGTTTGTCTTTTATCCTAGCATAAATAAATGGGAGTTTCTGATGCGGATTACCTCTTAGTGTTCAGAAGAGAATGGGGTTCCCAGCTGTTTTTTCCTGAACGTAGGAGGTGAAGCGTTTGAGGAACTTGGGATACTCTCTCTTGGCTACGGCTCTCAGGACTGAAGCTGGAGCCCAGCCTCCAGGGTTTACTGCAGGAAGACGGGAGACAATCATCAGCTTGCTTCACAGTTTGCCTCCATATATGACCAGTTATTAGGAATTCACAACGAATTCAAGACGATGGGGTAGAATGTCATCTAGTGAAAACAGAGAACTGCCCTTTTTCTTAAAAAATAAATCTAGGAAACAAGTGACTGACACTGTCAGACCAGACAGCAGCAAGACGCTTCCCTACACAACGACACAGTTGTACTTAGTTCTTGTGTTAATTGATTTTAAAATAACAATATATAATAAAGCGATAGAAGATGCATTTTAGAACTAGAATATGGCTGAAAAGGTCACATGTTTCAGGACTTAGAAGTGAAACTCGTGTGGTCCATTCCTGCAATAAACACGTTGATGGGTAATGCAATCCCAACTTTAAGTTTCTCAGAGAAACCTAGATTTTGCAAAAACACCAATGAGAAAAAAAACAGTGGATTCAAAGTGTTGTATCTAAACATACAGGTGGAAAGTTAAGTGGCAGGAAAAAGTGTGGTAGAAAAAAATGTACAAAATAACAGATAACTGCAGCCTTGAGAAGGCTGTGAGATTAAACCCATTCCAGAGTTGGAGAGAAACTCCAAAGGTTTATGGACTGATTGCTCATCTAAATCCAAATAAATATCTACAAGAGCTACAGCATAGCTGCTGCATTTACTTTATCTTCTGAAGTGAAGCTCTTATATTGTCCAGTAATGATTACTTTACCTTTAGTTAAAATGTGTCAAAGCATGAGCTTATTGCAAAAATGTATGAAATGGTAGAAAGCTAACAAGCTATTTAGAAGCACACTAAATGAATCAATCCAGCTGTGAAGCCCTGAAGGATTGTGTTTGTAGTAGAAACAGGGTCTAACTACAGGGTCTGTAAATAACTATCAAACCTCAAACTCAGGTATTATTCTAATGCAAAGACTCAAACCAGCTGGACCGGCACCACATTATGATAGTCAGAGGAAAATGGAAAGCAGATAAACCATAAAAAGGAAGCTTTTTTATTTTTTCTTTGTGTAATTATGGGATCAAAACCAGATGGCTGCTAGAGGCACCTACCATTGGCAACATATGTGATCTTACAGAGGATGTTGTCTCTGCTTATCTCTTTATCGCCCTCTGGTGGGCTGACCAGAGTTTGGCAGATCATGGCCACATTGATTTTGGCACGGACACACCGGTTTGTGGGCTGAAAGCAAAACAAAAAAACACATTTATACAAACATTCCCAAAGCTACCAAGCTGCCTCCTGTGAATACTGAGAGGAAAACTATTGGACTTCTCTAACTACAATCAAAACCCACTAAGACATATTGTTAAACAGCAATGAGGCAAACAGTGGTGAACTTATACATAGCTTTCAATAATGATTGCTTTTTGTTACATCAAAGACAGTTTTATTTTAAAAATTGTTCCTCTTTTACATCATTTTTTTGCTGCAAAATTATCTCTGAAAATGAGATACTTTACTAATGATTTAAATTATTGTTTTCATTATGCTGATTATTAGAATAAACAGCATAAATTCTTGCTGGTTGACTGATTCTCACTTCTGTAGAAAGTGGATTCCAGAGAAAATAAGCGAACATTAAAGCAACATCATCAATTTAAGAAATTAATATTCTTTAAAAAAAATTGTTGCAGTTTTTAATTTTTTAAAAACTAAACAAATGCTACAAACTAGTATGAGAAATTGTGAAACTTGGCTATGGCGAGCAGTGTTTTGTTATCACTTACTGGAGCACCGTCATGGTCGACAGAGAAATTGCACACTAGCCATGTGTCGGGATCGTTTTCGTTTGTTGCCAGAATCTTCCTGATGGCTGACAGATAGAGAACGTCCCTCTGAGAAGCAGGCCACACTCTCTGCAACGCAAACACAAACAGCTGCAGAAATCTGCTCATCCAATCAGCACATCATTTCAGTAAAAATCCACCAATTGAAACTGAATCTACCCTACCTTGTGCGTTTGGTAAACAATGATGGCATTATCGGAAAGTGTTTCCACAACGTTGAAGTTTTCAATGGTGGCTGTGGGTGGGAGAGCTCACAGTCAGTCGGGTCACGACATTGAAACCAGAGAAGCCAAACAAGTGTTGGAGTGATGTTCTCCTCCCTGTCGCTGAGAACTTACTTTCCCAATCATTCCTGACCGCTGTGTCCCAAAAGTAGTGGCAGACCTCGTGTCCCGTTACGCCTTTGACGGCGTGAGTGGCTTTGAGAGGATCCAGGACGATGCCGTTCTCCTCCACTTCCCTCCTGTAAACCTATTTATGCAACATAAAGAGCAGGACAGTCTTTTAAATCCACCCACGCCTAAAATGACACCAAGCGTCCCGACATTTGAAGATAACTTTTTCCCTTGCTGCATAACCATTAGACTTTAAGGAGTAGTTCACTTATTCTAGAGAATTCTTCTATCAGTAAGGTAAAAAAAGGTTGTATGTTAGGAAGTCACAGCTTGGAGCCGAGGGAAATGATTCACAGGCCGCTGTCTCCTCTCTACCCACCTTCATCTCCCCTTCTTCTATTACCAGCTGCCAGTTGGCATCTCCACCCATGTCCTGAAGAGAATAAGTCATATGATTCTGCACCATCTCCTCCACCTGAGACAAGGAGAGACATTCAAGAAACTCAGGTTAGACAGTATTTTACATAACTGGCCTATTTTGGGCTGGGCTTCAAATCTGGGCATAATTCACCAGGAAATGTAAACCTTTATAAACCGATTCAAAACATTTTAGCCGGCATACATGGAGCCTGCGTTTCAAACAACAGAGGAATTCAACAGGGAGACCATTTGCCTCAGAGCAACAGAAATTTAAGGAGCAGAAACCAAATACAAATCAACTGAATGCTTTGGCTGGAGGGGATTCCTCCGCATCTAAAAAGTGCTTTAAAAACAGCATTCCACATCTGCACAGGTGCATGCCCATGCCTTTAAAACAAGAAAAGATGTGAGGATAAGAAATCGACACAGGTTTTCTCCAAATTCAAGTCATGCAGCTTTGGAACAACTTCCACAGCATCATGGATGGAGTTGTTAAAGAGCGTTCTCATGCTAGCTTCATGCTTTAAAAAGCAGCGGGCTCCTGCATCACCCTAAAGGTTCTCATGGCTTCCTGGGCTGCAGTACCTGAAAGCTGAATCTGTGAACGTCATCAGAGGCGCTGAATAGCTCAACTGAGGATACGGATGAGGAATAGCTACCAGGCTGTTCAGCAGAGAGATGTTTCAAAGAGAAAAGAACAAAGAGGAAAAGCGTAGGAAGTAACATTTAGAATCAAGAGAAGAACAAAGTCTAGTGTGAGGCAGGTTTACAGGAAAATAAAAGTGTGTTCTAATAGAACCTTTAATTTAACTTATTCTGGTAACTTTTCAGAAACTGATATTCATATAGATGCATTAAACTAAGAGTGATCTATTTTTGTCATCTTTGGTCCCTTAGATGGTGGCTTACGGATAAACAGTTGAAGCTTACATAAAGAGATAATAATAAAAACTTTTGTGACACAAAAACAAAAAGCCGACGTCTATAAGCTGTCTGTGTACACATCTGGTACTTGGTCTGGGTTCCTCTTGCATAAATTAAAGGAAGCTGCTTTAATAGCCACCTAAACATCATCTGTGAGCACAGTGATAGTTAAACCTGATGGTACTGTTGGCAAGATCCAAGTCATGCTAGAAATCACAAACTGACTCTGAATTGGATTAAACACAGCTGACCAACAGCTGCAGATAATATCGCTCCTTAAATTATTACTGCATGAAAGCTTCACACTGAAGCAAATCATCTTGGACTTTAGGGCTTGATTTCCAAGTAAGACAGAAAAGATACTTTAATATTAAATGGGACTCCTGAGAGATGGTCCAGCTAGTCGTCTCTGGTTTAGGAGACAGCTGTTTCCTATGTCCTGGGTATGTTTGTGTTTCCAGGCTGTGAAGCAGTGACTCCAGCTGCTCATCAGGCCTCCTGAATCTCCCCCTGAACTATTAAGTGAGCTGCACTTTACAACTTATGCAAAGCTGCAGTTGAACCTGATGTGTGTGCATTTTTTCCCCTTTCACTAATAAGCTTAATTGAAGCACTCTGCATACAGCTGACATCTTAAGAAGCATCCATGTGGCTTAATCATTTTTATCTGCCAGATTTCTGAGCAACAAAGATTAAAGTTTTTATTACCTATAAGCCATAATTATTACAATGTACAAAAATAAATGCAATATGAACCTCAGGGTGTAATGAATCTCTGTATTACTAGTTTCCTTTTAAAAATGAATTACTACAATAAATTGGTGCGATAAAGAGAAGAATACATCAGTGTTTTTCCCATCTGTTGACACTAGGCTGAGTAAATTAAGAAATTCAAACGGATACCCTGCTTACCTTGTTGGCAAATCGGTGAGTACCGATGGCAGAAAAGACATCAGCAGGAGAAACCGGAGTTGGCCGTGGCGTCCTGACTTTCTCAGAGTGGCTCTGCAGGAAACAGCGTTTCTGTTCAGTGTTCATACAAGCTCTGCTGTAGCCAAACTTGCACATCTCTGAAGTTATGCATCCCACCTGTTCTTCTATTTTATCTTGCCGGTCTAGCTCAGCCTCCACCGCGTCGAAGAACTCATCCTCATTGATCAAACTGTTTGGCCCCTCCTGTAACCAGCGGACAACATGAGTATGGCTCGAAGCAAGGTCCACAATGATAAACAAATAGCACATGGCCGCTGGATCAATAATTAACCGCCAGTTCAGCTCAAACAATGTAGCTTCACCTCATAGTCTGGGCCTCCATAGTGGGACTTCTTCTTCAGTTCGTTCATTGCAGACTTGTAAGCATCTTCTACCCTCCTCCTCTTCTCCATCTCCTGCTCACAAGCAGAGTAACAAAGTATGTTTGGTGTGGCTGCTACTCCCATCTTTAACTCTGCTTTACTTCTTCAGATTAGAGAGATAAGTCTGGGATCAAGGGTGATGAAAATAAGGGTCTGCGTGTCTCAAATTCAGCAAACATTGCAATATTAGGCTGTGTTCACACAGCGACAGCTTTCATGGGAGAATTCACTACAGCGAATACACAAGGTAACAAGTGCTTCTCCGCTGTTCATTAATAGTTAAAATGAAAATGAAAAGGTAAGGGTGTGTGAGAGTGTGTTATCTCTGCGAGGCGTAATAAACTAAAATAATAAAATGCACTAAGCTCTGCACGCTTTGCCTATGTTGCAAAGATTGATCATAAAATAAAATGGTAGCTAAACTTGAATACATTTAAAAATAAGCTTTTAGAGAACAAAATGTCACCAAGCCGGGTGCAAAAACGAGTAAAGACAAACACAACCTGCCACAAAACAAACAAAAGCTGATCCTGTTACAGCTCAGACAGACGGAGAGACCTACTGTAATGTTGGAAGTCTGTAAAGGTATCCATCTTTGTGTTTGATGTTTGAGCAGCTCAGTGCTCCGCTGTTTTGAATGTTTCCACCAAGAAGTCAAAGAGGTCATTTTTTAAAAAGCCGTCTCAGAGTCCAAGTTGGGTTTTTGCTTTTAAATTCTTCTTGTAAATTAAATCCCTCCCAAATCAGAATACGATCAAGCCATTAAACCGAAGGAATGTTTGAGCTGGTTTCACCTGACTGTAGTTCAGCCGAAACACTTCCCGGCTTTTGAGTTGTAGCTTTAGGTGGCACGCCTTTAAAACGGTGGGGGGGGGGGTAGGAACTGGTTTGACAGGCAGTGAGCTCTAGAGAGCATACACTTAAAGGCACAGAGTCAAGTTTAAATAGCATTACAAGGGGAGAGAGAGAGAAAAAAAAGCTTTAGGATATGTCATTTTAGCAATAAGATACTTATACCATTATAACATTAATAAAAAAATACTAATGTGTGCTAAAACACATAACTGGATAGCTTCTGCTTAAAACAGGTGATCCAACCATCATCTGACAGAATCTAAAAGCACAACAAAACACTTTGTAACATGAAAGGAAAAAAAAGACAATGAACGGCTGAAGAAACACACAGAGAAAAGACAAAAATGACAAACAAAACAGGTTCACTGCATCCAATACTGATTTCTGTCAATTTTTTTGCAGCCTCAAATTTCACCTGGATTCACTGTGAGACCAACAAAGTAAATAATTGGAAAAAAAAGGATAATGACCCATTATTCCAAATATTTCCATAAAACATGCCTACTTTTATAGGTCAACTTGTCATTTATTCTCAGTACTGGTGAAATAAAGATGAAATTAACTATTTGATAAACAAAAAACAGTATTAAGAAGAATGAGAAACAAAGCAAAGATCGAAGTTCCCAGTTCATTGACATGATTGCAGATTCCTGGCAGATCACCAATCTTTTAAAAGGCTGACCTGCCGTCTCGTACTTTGGCCATTAATAATTTGTACTTTCAGGTTTTATAAGGTGACAACACAGCTTTCATATTTTAATCCTATTTCATTGAAAGAGAATAATAAATTGGTTTTAACTGCACATAAAGATGTTTCTAAATAATAAATAAAATAAATTGAACTTTATTGATCTCACAATGGAAAAATTAACTCTCTGCATTCCCATCCCCTTTGGGGAGCAGTGGGCTGCCACTGTGCAGCACCCAGGGAGCAATCGGGGGTTAAGGGTCTTTCTCAGAGACTCAGAGAGGCAGTCTGTGGGAGTAGGTTTCGAACTCACAGGATTTCAGGCCTTATGCCCTAACCACTAGGCCGCCACTCCAGCCTAGTGGTCAGTTCTTAAATATAAATCAAAAGTTTAGAGCATTTACAGCAGCTGACTTTCAGAACTTCGTGTACTTAGATACGATCAGTGGAGAGGATCAGTTTCCTTTGTAAGTACTGACTGATCATCCAAAATTAAATCAGGGGCGATTCATTGGTGGACATTAAACAACAATAGATTTAAACCTCTCATAGAGCACTAATGAACTTAATGTGAAACTGAAAGACTATGGCAGAAGAATAAAACTACCAAATAGGGCTGAAGAAGGTAATCGAATTAATTGTGATAAATCAATCATGGAAATAATCCATTGATCAGTAACTTGAGTACACAGACTCTTACACATGACATTAAATGAAAGAGAAAGACCCTCAGAAAAGTAAATATATTGATATAAATTCCATATAAAATCTTCTTAAAGGCAATATTTTTTTGCCATTGGATTAATAATGTAAAAACAAAAAATACAAAATAATCAGCAAATTTATCAGTTAGCAAAATGGTTAGGTGCAGCCTTAAGACCAAGACATGGCCGTCCGGGTAAACAGACAAGCTGGGGAAGAAGCTGCAGAGAATCGGAAGTCGGTTGATAGAACAGTGATTAGTCACACACTCTACAAGTATGGTCTTGATGACAGAATGACGAGTAGGAGTCACCAATCATGTAGATGAAGGCGTTCAGGTAAAAACTATGCATGGTAAAAAAGGAACACTGCACACTGCGCATATTTCCCCCAGTGACACATGGCGATGGAAGTATCATGCTGTGGGGATGCTTTTCTTCAGCAGGGACAGAATATTTTAAATCAGAACCGCTGGGAAGATGTATGGCCCTACATATGTATGGTAACAACATCTATGGGCTGTTAGACACAGAGGGAAGTAGAGTTATACCTTCCAGCAGGACGATGAGCCCAATAATTTGGTCAGAGCAAGTTTAGTTTAAACTATATCTGTGTGTTAAGTTAGCTCAGTCAATGTGCAGACTTAATCCAAAGTGAGTTTTTTGATTTTGTAAAGAAGAATGTGCAAAAACAATACAGCCTGTAGATGTGTAAAGGTGCCAACAATTTAACAAAACAGAGATGCATCAGTGATCCCAGCAAAACAGTAATACTACAACTTTCAAGCTCAGGGGTATGCCACACTTTTCAGATTCCTTTTTGAAAAACTTAATAAAACACCAAGTAGACCTTTTTTTCCAATTCACAAAATACTCTCTACTGTGAATTGATCTGTTAGGTCTGGACAATTATTTAATATCATGATATCAATTTATTTATTTATAATAAAGATTATATGAATTTTAAATGCATTTCTGGTGCTTTAATATATGTGACAGCCTGTGATTACAGCGTTTCCAACATATTGGCTATGTGAGCATCAACACAGTGCCTGCAAGCTGTGATTAGCAGTACGCTAAGCTCCAATAGGGTGAGTTTAAGAAACAAAATTAGTGGCCATGATAAGGTGACCAAACATCCAAACAACAAGTTCTAAAGAGCTGGTCCCATAGCTTAAAGCTATAGTCAGAATAGAAGAGCTGAGCACAGCTTTCGAATAAAAGGAGAGCACCAGTTTGTCACCTCTGATAGGGAGCCTTCATGTAGCATAATGAGATGTGTGAATTTTATTATTTTGTTTTACCTGACCTGGTTGTTGCTGTCAAAGTTTTTGTTTGTGGTTGCTGCACCCAGGTACAAAATAAGGCTGGGATCTGTTTTGTCTTACTAAAGTGGGAAATCTGTAATAAACCAATTTTTTATTAACAAATATAAAAAGATAGGTAAAGACTATAGTGGGGGGGGGGCTATGGCATGAGTGAGAGAGAGAAAGAGAAACCTTAACAGGAGGATTTTTGAAAATAAATACCTGTGCTTAGAGTATCAATGAGAGTTTATCAAAAGCTAGATGTTTCAAGATTGACTGAGACCTTTAGTTTGCATTTTTAGAGCCATTTAGTAGTCGTCTTCCTAATCTTTAATAACGGTTGGGTGTGCTTGTCTACTTAAACATATAAAAGTCCGTCAAAATAACAACTGAATAAAAGAGGCATTAACAGAAGCTTTGAAAGAGGTGAGAACTCTTGGAGAGAAATACAAGAAGGGAGATAATCAGCTGTTATATGTTCATTTAATCGGTTCAGCTTGTAGCTCCAAATAAAAACAGATGCATTTTTTGGAAGATCTTCATAAATGTGACAAAATAAATTTCAGAAGTTTCTACAGGCATCTGTTGGGGTCATTCTGAGTCTTTCATGTTACTTATATCCATATCAGAATTAAACCATGTCGATGATATAAGATCTGACCCCTTTGTCCAACCCTATGATCTGTCAGTTTAACACCATGAAGTTTAGGATACAAAAATCAGTTTTTCCTCAAGGATATGCGTTGATTTGCTTAATCCATCATTTCATTATTTCTATACCTCTAGTCAGGTTTTTGTTATTAAATTCTCAAACCTTTAGACTTAAAACAAATTAAGATTATGCTCAAATAAATTTGAGCATAATCTTCCCTGCTGCCCAAACATCAAAGAAATATATCAGGTTCACTCCCCAGTAGGCATCAATGCACCCAGTCAGGAAGTTGATGCATGACATACTCATGATAATGAGGCTCAGTTTCTCAGGAGTCTCTAACAGTGCCATACCTTGTCCAGCCTTTTCTGCCAGCTGTCTTCTCGTTTAACCATCAGCTCGATACAGTGGGACAGAGTGGAGAGGATGCCAGCTGTGGTGGCCTTAAAGGTGATGGCTTCTCCTTTAAAGTCTATCCCATTGATACCTTTGGGACTGGCGGGAGAAAACACTGGACGAAAGAGAAAGAAGGAAAATGATTTTAAACTTCAACTTTAATCCAATAATTACACTGAAAAGAATAGGATTTAGTTGCTTAGAACGACTGCGTTCTTCATTTAAATGCATGCAGACTCACGTTTCTCTTTGCTGCCATTGTTGTTGTGGTTGTGTTCACCATCTGGTCTAGTAGGTGTAAGAAACTCATCTTCATCCTCCTCTACAAGTGATAAGAAAAAGCTTTTGTTTAAGCTTTGTATGATTGTTTTATCTTTTCAGAGTATACACTATTTCTCAGCTGTTTTGGGAACAGATGTGTGTTTTTCACACAGATGTTAGGCTAAAACCCTGTAGGCCTAATATAAAAAGGAATTCTGAAGATCATAAAAAGGTGCTGCCTCAGAGATCACACAAACCACAAAACGTCCTGTAAGCAGATATCGATTTTCTTCTCTCAGTGAACCATTCCAGCCACTCTTCATCTCTAATGCTGCATTAAACCAGTAGGAAGCTGCCATCAATAAATGCTTTTCTTTTCCTGTAAAGCTAAAGGTCGAACGCAGATGTGCAGTACTGAAATGTTATCTTCATAAAGAAGGGCTTTTGATCAAAATTTTTTTACGGCCTTCTGAAGCCACATATTACCTCTGTCTCTCTGAAATTCATCTTTGGAAACTGCATCTGCACAGGAGTCAAAATACTTCTGAAGGGTGTCCACCTGTCGGCACAGAATGTCCCGGAAGGTTTCCATTTCTGCCAGCTTCTCACGAAGCCTGTGGCCCTTCTGAGCAAAGAGAGGAAAACACAGAAGTAAAACAACAATTGTCAAATCAAAGTCAAATCTTGAAAATACAACACTTGGTCTGAAATTATTACTTTTACCTTGAAGGAGGACGTGGATGCGGAAGACAAGGCACTGGCAGCTGAGGTGAGAGACAACATGGAACCATGACGCCTCAAACTGGTTTCTGAACCATATCCAGACTCAGCCTGAAACACAAGTAGAAATTAAAATGAGGCTAATATATAAGGAGAAGAACACCAACAATAAGTCTGCATAAAGTGAAACTCTGTCTGCAAAAACAATACCTAAAGCAAAAGCTTGAAAAGGTAAAGAAGGCCTTGCAGGTCACTGAGAAACCCCAATAAAATAAACAGGATCTACAGCACTAATCGATCAGTAGAAAATCAGAATCAGCTCCTAAATAATCAACAGGGCAAAATGTTTTACTTTTCATTTACACATTTGATCCTGTTTCGTTAGAGCCTACATTGGAAACTCAGCAGGTCAGACCTCAAAAGACAGCTGGAAATCAGTTTTAAAAAACCCAGATCAGTAAATTCCTTTCTTTTTAAAAATAGTCAAAAGAAAATGAGTGTAAAGTCAATCAAAAGCAAACAAACACACTATAGAAACAGCCCCCCATAGAGGAAAAGACTTGACTGGCCGTATTAAACTGCATGCAAAACCTACAACTGTACATAGTTTAGTTATTACATCCGGACAGCCTTTTTTAACTACAAATCATTTAAATTTATGTATTTTATATCTAAAAATTAGTTTATAATATGGCAACAATCAAGAAAATGACCATAATGATATTTAGCAATCATACTGCATGTTGTTTTCATAATTCATTACAAGTCTAAAGTTACATTTCAAGGCTGAAAACTGTGATAATGCCACCAAAATACAACATAGTAATAAATATTTCATAACTGGCCAATTTAAGGATGTCCTTATTAAATATTGAAACTGGAAATCGGTCCAACATCAGCCAAAAATTCGAATAGCAGATTATATCAGTCTGCCTCTAATAATCTTAGATACGAGCCAGCTGATAGAAACACTCCTTTTCTATACTACATTTATTAACCTCCTGGTTAATAATACATGGTTGGTTGTTCTCATACCTGTTGTTGTTGACCAGTATTCTGTTTAGGTAATATTACTAAATCAACCTTTTCTAACATTCCACACTATAAAGAAGTTTACCTTCTATGTAATGACATGTTTCTGTGTGCTGTATGCACAGTGATATCTCAATTCAGAGATAATGTCTTCTATTTTATTATTTATAATTAGGTCGACTGGGACTACTAGATTATAAGCGGGTGCAATTTTTTAATTTTTGAAACTATGCATAAGCTTTTATTTCCGATCCTGAGGCCAAGTGAGTTCTATGCATTAGAACAGAACTGCAATCAGTCATATAGGAGTGGCTGTGGGGGTATTTGACCTATTAAGATGCCGTCTTATAACCAGGCAACACCTGTGACTGTCGGCTCAGCAGAGGGACAGCAGCTTTATTACAGATATCGAGCATGCGTCTGCAAGCACGCCCTAAAGGACACGCCGTAGTAAAGTGTTCCTGTTTGTCCCACAAGCAGCTGTTAAAACGTATCCATGCAAGTTAACAGAGGCAGTGAAGTCAGGACCCTACGCTAGAAAAAAACTTGGCACCAACATTAATGTTCTAAAATGTTGGAACATATATGAATCACATAGTGGTTGGGTTTTTTCGTCTCAAGGCATTTGCTCAGGTTTAGTCATGCTGCATTTTTCCCTCTTGATTACAAAATTAACCATAGGCTGCAATCCGTTTCTATTAGCCAATAGGAACGCAGGAGGAATGCTAATGACTGGTGACTAAACCGAAAGGGAATCAAGTGACTGCACAGAGAGAGACTCCACATTCTCTGGCTTTAGCTGCAGTTTCTCCAAAGATGAGAGCAACAGACTAAGAAGACAGACATAAAACACAAATGAAAAAAAATAACATCTGGAGTAGATTTTGGACCAGACAAACAATGTCTGATAACGTGGCTGCTGTGACCTTAAGGTGATCCAAGCACCTTTTATGAAACCAATGCAATTCATATAAGGAAAAACAGGTGTAGTGAAAAAAAAAAAAATTGTTCCAGATTATGGCTGTAACTAACAATTATTTTGCAAATCGATTATTCTGTCTATTCTTTTTTCTGATTAATTGATTCATAATCGGATAGCAAAAGGTTCCTTAAAGAAGACATTTTATGAAACTAAATCAGGTGAAACTAAAGCTTTTCCACTCGATGAGTTCTGGATAGAGCATACTGACAGATGGAAAAAGTTATTTTTATCTTAAATGTAAAATGTTTACATATTCTTTTAATAATTTTGGTATAATTACTGCTCCAAGATGGTCGCTTTGTCAGCTAAAGTCCTGATTTAGTGTCTCTATACTCCAGTTAATGATTTATACGTTATTAAATTAGTTGATGATTATTTCAATAATCGCTTAATCAAGATTAATCCGATAAATACCTGATTAATATTCCAGATCCAATACATGGATTATTACAAGCACTTCAAAATTCACCAAACTAAAGTTACAACTGTTAACAAAGAAACACAAAACAAAAAAAAAAAACTGCTCAAAGTACAGTTTTAAATTGAGAAAAGAATAACTTTATAAATAACACCCCCAAATGAGGAGGACAAGTAACTTTGTAATTTCTGCAACACGTTATAGGAATGAGAAGAAGAAAAAAAAAACAGTCTTCATTAGAGTGAAACAGTCTGCAGGCTGGGAGGGAGAAGTGTTTGCATTTCAAATCCTAGTCCTGATTGTTAAGTTAACCTGACCCATGGCCAACAAATGCTTTCAGCAGCAGGGTGCCACGCCCCATCCACAAATATCAATAAAGAAACGATTATTAGGATCCTCTGTGCTTCAAAGGAAAAGACAATGTTTCGCATTTTAAACAGTTTTCTACTGATGTGAAAATAAATCGCTGGCAGCTTTGGTAAAGATGGGTATGAAAAGCCTCAATAGAAATCCAGTTAGTGCAGAAGCATGATGACAAACTGGAAATGTAGATAAATCCATTTATAAATCTACTAAACTAATGTTTATTAAACATAAGTGGTTTCATGTTTTGGCTTTTTTAGAATCCCTTCAAAATAAATGCAACTATATTGATGGAAGTCGCTTCACTAAAAACATCTGCTTTGATAAAATTATCCAAGACTGAACAAAAAAAACTTTGTTGTGGTTTTGGTTGAAAACAAAGAATGAATATAAGGAGCAGAACTCCATGCCTATTGTTACATTTGATGTTTTAAATAAAACATTGTTCTGCATGGTTAATAACAGTGTCCATATCAGGTTCTGCTGACCAACAGATTCTTTAAATCACTAGGGTGTCTCATCTCTGAACAGAGCAATGGTTTAAATGGTTTTGAAATTTTAATGGATTTTTATTCAATTTGGACTTTGGTTTTATATTTTATTTTAGTTTCAATTCCTTTTTTGTATTATCTAGTTTTGTTTCGTTTTAATTTTTTCAAAATGTTTATTTTAAGTTTAGTTTTTATTAGTATCAAATTTTTTTAGTTTTTTTTTTAATCCAATATGACTTGCAAACTAGGAGTAAGACTTAGAAAAAATAAAAATCATAAAGAAAGAAATAGAATCCCTGATAAGAACAGAGCCCTGCAACACCACAAATGACCTGCCTCCCATACCTGCCACCTGCTGGCATAATCTGGTCTAGCAAAAAAAAAAAAAAAAGTGTAGACATAAACCAGAAACTAGACCCAACATAAAAACAAAAACACTCTCCCTTCAAATTCAGTCATTTTGTAAAATCCTATACAGTTTCAGTTTTTTGTTGTTGTTTTTTTTTGCGCAAGGTCCAAGTTTCATATTGATTTCAGTTATTGAATTTTTCTTTTTTTTTTTTTATTTTGTTTCCAACATTTCGTCAATTTTAGTTAATGATAATAACCTTGACGCAAACTGCAGACAGCTGCTGATTCTGCAGCTTCATTTTGCTTTGCATCCAATTCCTCCATCACACATAATACTGACGGCCGACTTCAAACCCAACATTTAGAGTCAGGAGTTTTTTACCTAAACATGTATAGATTAAAAAATGAAAGCACAATCTGAATGATGCACTAAAAATACAAACACATTGAAGAGCTCTACTCTGCCCTATAGAAACAAACGCAGACAAAAGCTTAACCTTTCACTTTAATGTACCTGCTGAGCTGCATGACAACCATGCAAACTGAACACTCATTCATATACAGCATTTGAAATGGGATCTTGTGGTTTTACAAGTTAAATGAGTGACCCGTGAGTGCTCACTACCAGACAACAGCATCTCCTGCTCTGTGCAGATGGCTTCTTGAGAAACACAACACCATGCACTATAAGCTTAATGGCAGCGATTTGCACTGCATGCAGTGAAGTTCAATTCCTTTGGGTTTCTCACATCATAAATTGCATGCAAATAAACGGTATAGTGTGAAAAACATGACTCCAAATCAGAACAATATCACAAGCAAAGTCTTTAGAGCATTGCTGTTTTATAGGGACCGGGCAGCATGCCAAAAAGCAGTAAGCCCACCATTTGGCCATTCCAACAGCCAAAGCAGAGCAGGGAACTCCTGCAATCCTGACGGCTTATTGGCCCAAACATGACCGGGCGATCCGCAACCACTCTGACACTGACAATGCAGATGAGTCAATCCAGTTTTCCCGTTCCAACGGGACACGCCTCACTATGAAAAAGAAGATGAAAAAGACGAAGACGTGCTCAGCTGAGCTCATCAAATGAGACAAAACAGATACAAGAAGCATAGAGGGAAGAGGAAATAGCCGTTTGCTTCTAGGAGGCTGGACGACAGGCAGACACTGGACGCTCTTTGAAGCAGAAGATACTTAAGAGTCATAAATGACTTATAATTTCTCAGCAGAGGGTCTGCTTATAATAAAGTTGTCGCCTTTCTCATACACTCAGTCCACTTCTTCAACACAAAAACATCAAGAAACCACATACCCTGACATGTGAAACCCTTTCATCCTGCCTGTCTTTCCGTACAGCATCCATCACTGTGCAAGCATCTGGCACTCTGCGCTGTTGCATTGAGAAAAGTGAAGAGTGGCGAAAATATGATGCACGCATGCATTAGAGAAAAAGATGAGTACTGTCTGGAG